CTTCCATGCACAGGTTTTGCTTCTGTTTTATTAAAAACTGCCTTTATCTTGATCCATGATTTTTTTTTTTTGGTCTTACTTTCCCCTGTCCTGCTGAGGAGGGGCGTGATAGAACAACTTGGTCAGCCAAGGTCAACCCACCACACTGGGACAAAATGGTGAGATTATTTTTGGCTAGCACTACACTTCAGAATTATACAATGGCATGAAATCTCACAGATGTCTGGGAAATACCAGTTCCAGTATACCAATACTTGGAACACTATGCGAGTTTTGATACCTAAACCATAATGTAGTCTGGTGACATGTATACAATTTGAGATTCCAGTTTGATAAATACATACAAGGTGAATCCATCCAAGAAATAATGTGACCGTATTGTATACTTGTGGTCTCTGGATCTTTGTATGCCATGGTGATGCAACTAAATTTCAAGAAATGCATACAAGTGGTGTTAAGACCACTGTGTTCCTATGGCCTAGCTGGACAGGTACACTGGTGTTATCTACACACTCATGTTTTCTTGTACAGAAAAGATGTCAACTTAGACAAATTTTTCATGAAGCTGTGGACCTCAGGTGTATTTTATTTACAGTTTTAAATGAGCTTGAAGCTTGCTTTATGAGATTTACTAGATTGACATTATTTCTGTGGAATATGGCAAGATCTCTCTAACTGAGAATTAAAACAATTAAAGAGTAAACTCTGATCCTAGTAGTGACCGAAAAAGGAAACCTGGAATCTGAAGTAAGAGATGAACCAAAAAGACCACCTTGAAGGCTCATAGTTCATCTTGGGCTCTAATGAGGAAATAATGACAAATGATTTTACCATTATGAATGCAAATGTATAGGTCTCTTGACACAAAGGGAGTCAAAGTAAGTTGATACTCCCCTTTTGTCTTTGAAGTAGAAATGAAATGCCTAATCCCTGACTACTACAGTTACATTTTCCTCTCCTCATCTAAGTGAACATTCAGATCTTGCTCAGCAGTAACATCCTCACTAACGTCTGAGTACTCAAGGATGACTCTTCTGGTGCCACATATGTGAATATAAACATGCAAACATACGTACATATATAGAGAGACACACACAGAGCCCACCTACCACCTGCAAAGTGTATATGAACCATGCACACATTCCACTCAAAGGAGCCAATCTTGTGCTTTCAATGTTCAAAGACGGTGCCCTTTTTTGGGAGAAGGCACGATGGGAAAGGTAATGTAAGAGTAAAAACTCAGAGAAACTATCTGTGATATTTGCTGCTCATACTTATTTGCTTTCATTAGACATGGGGATTCCAAGTGAGATTTCCAGAAAGAAAGTCTGTCACTAGAAGTTGTATAGGGTTCATCTGGTGTAGTAACCTATGCGTCTTCCTTTGTACTTCACACAGCTGAGTTGTGCAGTGCAAAAAACAACATCTGCTTCTTCCTTCAGACTGGAACACAGAAGCTCACTGAAACCAAAGGAGCTCCACATTCTCAGTGAGCAAAGTTTCATTAGCCTTTGAAGTGAAGGTGTATTGATCTTTAAATGGAATATTTTTATGGCTTGAATTCCAGATAGTTATCTTTATCAGCCACAGTCTTTAGGGCATGGATGTGCCCAAACATATAGAAACATGTGCAGGCACACTGCATACCAGTCAGCATGATACACAGAGATCTTCATTATCAGCTGCCTCTCACCATATAGATTGTACTTCTTCCCACTGCACTGTGAAAGACTTTCTACAAATAGACACTCTGTTTTATTAAAGTTAGCCTTATCTTCACAGAAGCAAATGGTGTTAACAAACATGGCAGAGAATGGCAGAGTAGACCTTGTCAAATCCTGAAAGTCTGGTTTACTGCCTTTTTTTTTTTCTTTTAAACTAGACTATTTTGAGTGATCCTTGTTGCTTTCATTTTTCCTAAACAGTAGCTATGGGATGCCAACCAGTGCAAAGAAAGCCCTAGAATGTATCATGGCATCTCTAAAATGTCAAAAAAATGACGGTGCAGTTCTATTACCAAAATACTTCTTGTTAAATGTTATTCCCAGAATACCAGGAAAAGGAAAAAAAAAAAAAAAAGAGAGTACAGAACATTAACACAACACTATTTGGCTTTCTGGCCACAGTTTCCAGAATGAACTGAAGAATCCCAACTTCATGCATTTTTTTTCAGGTTTTGAAATGCCTCAAGCCATCCTCTGGACCACCTTGTGATCTAGTAAGCCTTCTCAGGCAAGTAAATCACTCTAGAGTTAATTATTCCTCCACCTCTGTCTTCTGGTACTTCTCTTCCTGTGAAAAAAGATTTAAGAGAAGAAGACAACAATCAGAACAGTAAAAGATATTGTGTATGAATGCATATCCTGAGCTGGTCAAGACTGCTGAACATATAATAGTGAAATCGTAAGTAGACAGAATAAAAAATACTAAGGAATGTTACCTTTCAGACCTCCACCATTTCCCATTGAAATGGTGGTGTCAGGACTCTCCCAGATTCTTGATGTGAAATTCCTGAAGAGAGATGGAGATGGAGTGCTTGGAGGGCTGTGTGCCAGTAAGATGCGTAACAGTATGAACATTAATTTAAATTTGCCATTAAGGTCTTGTACATAGATAGGAAAAGATGATACTAATACCTCAGCTGTTGCATTTGACATCGTGTTTTCAGTAAGTGAATGCCTTACCAGCACTGTCAATGCTGTACGAACTTGCAGTGCAAACCTGGTTTCTGGATCGACTGTACCAGACATGCTGAGAAGCCAAAAGCAATGATGCTGATCCAAAATCTGAGAATGTGCATACCAAAACTAAATGCGCTGACTCAGTACTGCAGGCTCTTTTGTTCTAATTTCTGTCAACAGAAATATCCATCTTAGATTAGTAGGTATCTTCTTCATACGCAGTTTAAGTAGCTTTCCTTAACGTATGAAGGAAACCTAGGCTTCATTTCTGGAACATGAGGAAGATAATTTCTTACACAGGAGACAGCCCCATAAGGACCTCAGACAGGCCTGAACTGCACAGAAACATTAGCATTCACTGCTCACTATAAAAAAAGTACATGCAGTTACAGGAAGGACTACTGAAACATAGTAGCTATTTCACATCTGATTAACATTTTTCAGCCTGAACAACTAAAATTTAAATCTGTAAAAATACTTCATGAAAAAATTAAAACTTAAAAAATTAAGTTAGAGAAAATAATATGAAGAAAAAACCCACTGGGTTTTTTTCCCAACTTAATTTCTAATCACTTCCTCTCTAAAGGTATTAATTTTTAACAAATAAAGACAGAAAACTGTTATAGCAAATTGAAAGAATGGTTAGGATGGCATATATTACAGCAAAAAACAAAAGTCTAGACTTTGCCTCCTGTTGGCTGGATACTCTTTTTGGTAATACGATTCTGTATTTGAGTATATGGCCAGCTACTTATGACTTCACATTTAAGGCTGCACATGAATACAGCTCTAAAACTGTAAGCACACAGTGAGCATAAATTCCTGTTTAACATAGAGAGTCCTCTGAATATTCACTGCCATCTTCTATAGTTTGTCTTTCAGTAACTTTAAAAGAGGAAACTTACAAAGCAATGAAAACACAGTTTCCCATCAACGATCCTACTTCTTGTGGTTAACAACTTCTTGCAAAATGCTAACTGTGTGTTGGAAAATAGCAGAACGTGCCTGTAACTTGTGTATTGGCAATTTATTGTACCAAAGAAAAAGGCTCCGCATGAGGCTTTATATTCAGTTGCCAAGAAATAATTCTCTATCAAATGTCAATTCCATTAAACAGTACTCTTCCTTCCCTGATTTCATATGCATACAACTTCTATGAGAAGCAAGAAAGTAAAAATTGGAGTCTCTCAAAATACGTCTTCATTGTTCTTCAAACTGCAGGCATCTAGTGTATCAGACTGACTACTGAGAGGTAACAGAAGATGTACTGTTATGGACATTACCCAGAGTAATACCAGACACCATCCACTTTGCTTAGCTTGTTACCTTTGTGCATTCAATTAATTCTTTCCCAATCACTTTATCAGCCACATTCATGACTATTAGGAAGAATACTTTAACGTAAGACTGCACTAACTACATGATCAGAAAAAGAGTCTGCAAGGAAGAATAGAACTTTAGTTAAATATTTTTGCACTTACATTGCTACAAAATTGCTGTTTACTCAATGCTATACCATCCCAAGTCAAACACGCTTTGTATTTTAACCAGTACAATGCATGGTTAACAAAATCCTTCCAAAATAATGCACATTTGAAAATAGCAGCAGCCCCTTCCCCTCTTCTGTTCTAAAAGGCAGTGAGTGATTTTCATCTTTAAAAAAACACCGTCCACAAAATTTACTCAATATGGCACTGGAATGCCTCTCTACCTTCATGTTTATCCAGCTGGTTATCAGCTGATCCTTAGCCTGTATCACTTGGAAAAACGCTGTGACAAATAGGATTATTAACACTTTTCTAGGACTAAAGCACAGTAAAATTCAGCAAAACATAACCATCTCTTTTAGAAATGTCATTTCCTATTATTAGAAACCGAAAAATGATTGTGGATGATCTGTTCATTCAAACTACGAAAAGAATTTAAATACAACCTATTTTTTATTTCCACCTTCTGGCAGTTTTTCATGATTTGCCTTCCCTGGCACAGCCTGACTTCAAAGAAAAATATCAGCAAAGTAATACAGTGGAATAAACTGAAATGTCAAATCAAAAAGGATCAACAAAAAATTCACAGCAATAAATAAGAAAGCAACTAGGACAAAATATAAAACATAGGTGCTGAGAGGAAGAAAACACAAGATGACAGAGAAAGACAATTCAGAAGTAGATTTTATGTCTCTAATGAATGTACATGATACAAATTAATGCTAATACTACATTAGATCATTTATACATAAAAATCGTCCTGTTTAACATTGTATTTATGCTTACCTCACCTGTTTTCATCATGATTTTTTAATTTTTTTTTTTTAATTACCCGAATTTACCAGATTCCATGGTCATCTGAAGTAATCCATCAAGAGCACTGGAAAGTAGACCTCTACTGGATACTTTTAAGTGACTTAATACAACAGGCACACATTGGTATTCCAAAAATAAGGCCTTCCCTTCATCTGTCTTCAAGTCTATGCGAAGGGAATCAAATGCCTGAGCCAGGTAATCCACTGAAAGATACCAGAATACAGGCAATAAAACTTCTCTAACCATCATTTCATTAAGAAATGTGAACAAAGGTCTGACAGTTTCCGTTGCAGATATATATGTTATACACTTTAAAGTTAAATGGTGAAAATACTAAATTTACTTTTTATTTAAAGACATACTCTGTCTGGTTTTATACCTTAACAATTTATTCTGACTAGAGAAAGATGCTATCTACAATTCCTATGTGTAAGAAAAACATACTTACAAATGTAAAGTCCTGCAAATATTTTGCTTAAGAGGAAAGAAAACATAAGCTTGCACAGTTTGAGACAATGTTGGTTCCAACATCTGGAAAACCTCTATTAAAGGAGTCAATGGCTGATTTGTCTGAGAAGGAGCAATTACTTTCACCAGAGCAACTACTCCCATTCCTTCTATAAAAAGTGGTAGTTTCAGTACATGCATTTTATATTCTCATTCATTGTGGAGTGCATTGAATTATACTAAGAATGCAGATTAAGTGAACCAATCTAATTTCTTAACTTCCTGATGTCAAATCTTCTTCAGTGTCTTGGAATCCCATTGATCATCTGGAGCTCAGAAAATTAAGTAGAAGGAAACAATTTATCCTGCTGCAAAAGTTTAACTATGGTGCCATCTGCTGGATACTGACAGGTAAGGGAAAGACGATGGATGTTCAAATGTGCTACTTTATCACTAGATCATCAGTGCCATGTGGTCAGAGTGATCAAAATTCATACACAGTGATATCTGACATATGTTTAATATCAGATCATATTTTCCATGTTATAGAAACCAGCAGTAAAGGGGAACTATGAGAGGCTAAACTGGTTCATTCTAATCAAGATTGTTCATCTCCTTAGGGTAAATCAGACTCGGCAATGACTAGTTTTGGTATTGCAATTTTTCTTGCATTGCTTTTATCAAACATTTCTAGAAATGTGAGTTGCAATTTAGGAATAATTATCATGCTTCACCAAAATGTCTTGACTGAAATAGTTCCCTCCAATAGCTGAAATACTGTGTTAGTTCATTAATGATGTCAGGGTGGTCTTCCACCACACTTAAATCCTGTATTTACTGTAAATACTCTCAATATAAATCCTGCACATGTTGTTAAGCATAAAGACAAACTAATCTTCTTAACCATCTCATCCAGAAGCAGGACTTGTATGAAAAAGAACACTATTCATTATGTATGCATTTAAAATCTTTGGCCTCTCAATTTAGTGTCAATCAGGGTGCCAGAGATTGCAGCAATTTTGTGATGTGGACCTCTGCTGTCTAAGGAACTGGCCTGACATTCACAATATATTTCACGCAAGAGGCTAAAAAAAATCAGATGACAAAGCAAGCACCTGACAGGGACATTCTGGCATGGTTATTTTCAGAAGTACCTTGATAATTAACATCTCTGTAAGCTGTGTCAGTCTCTTTGTGTTATTAGCAGAATAAATGTGTTACTAGTAAAGACATTTTAAAATAGAAACCATTCAGAGAATAAAAGGTCACAAAGTCAAAGGTAGCATAGAATCACGGAAGAATTTAGTTGGAATCTAACCTTCCTGCCTAAAGCAGGACCATCTCTAAGGTTAGGTTAGATTTTTCATTTGTAGCCCCACTGAACAATTACTTGCTATCAAAATGATCTGTGCTTTTCAAATTTCTTTGAAAAGGGAAAAATAAGTGGTTAATATCACAAAGAGTTGGAAAAGAGCTATAAATACATTCATTCTTATGCTATCCTTGTAAAACATTTTTGCAGAAAATCCCAGTTATGCAGCACCACAGTACTGCTAAGTTGTTGCAGGTAAGCAGCAATCACATCTTACACCTGCACTTAATAGTATATAATTACTTTTCTGCCTGACTTCCATAAAAAGGATCTGCAATATCTTTTGTTAGCTGTTTCCCTTGAAGAGAGAAAAGACTTCATAACTGAAAGGCAGCAATTAAATCAGCTGGGAGAACAGTTACTCTAGCCTTTGAGTTATATTTTCCACATTTTTTCTCATACTGTCCAGACACAACCTGATTTGTGTAATCCTGTAGTGTCTACTTTGAAATCTTTATCTTCTCTCACTCTCATAAGACAAGGAAGGAAGACCCAGCTTCCTCCATTTCTTTGCCAACACCAAATTATATATGTTTTAAGCAGAAAATTCTACTTTACTGTTATACATATCTGCCAGTGTGAAAGGTGGAAGGGTTCTGGGAACAAAGCAAACACAAAAAAATCACACTGAAAGACAAGAGTCGCTCACCCTGTGATGCCGCCCTACATAACCCTCCTGATCCTTTCTGGTTAAACAAAAGGCAGAAGAGAGAGCTGAAAATGATGTAGCTGTTTCAGACAGAATAATCCCCTAACAGGCACTGGAGGTTGTATGGACTACATTGTTTAAGAGAATATGTGATTTTTTTTCCCAAAGAAATAAACACACACAAAATAATCAAGTGTTAATATATTCAGAAACTCAACCTGATAATAAGTAGCAATTACATTGCATTTAGGATTCAGAGGGGACCTATCAACTCTGCTGCTTTTATGCTGATGGACTCCTTTAGCATAGGTTCATAGCAATCACTGAAGCCATTACTGAATTAAAACACGAAGTCAAAGAGAAGCCTAATAATAGAGGTCAAAATAAGACATTCTTTTGGATTACTGATCACATCTGCACATATGAATTAAGAACCTTCAAGCATAATACAGATTATGTTGAAGTGTTCAAAGAAGTCATATATACATAAATTAGAACTGGGGAAGAATTTGTTTAAATAACCAATCTGTAAGTTAATTTAAAAATATCTCTATAAATAAGACTTACTGAAAGTTTTTCTTCTCACAAAAGTGAACACCAATCTCTGTGTCGAAAGGAAAGGAAGGAAAGCAGTTTGACAGAATTATCAGCATCTCTTTTCCCCTTCTTCAAAAATGTTGACTTATCTAACAAGTCATTGTATTAAAAGGAACATATAAACTCCAACATGAAATGAATAATAGCAAGATTATACATATTTGGATTCACAAGGCAGTCAAACTCAAGTAAAACCACTTTTCACTAATAAAGCATAACAGACTCTATAGTATTATTGAAATGCTTTTTACCCAGGCACATGACTGAAATAAATAAATTAATAAAAATAAAATCTTAACTTACCTTGTGTCACTGTTTTGAGCACAATTAAAGTTGACAGAAATCTCAAAGGCATACAGGAACTCTTAAAGAAAGCTGCTGATTTTGATTTACTCTCTATAGACGGTTCAGAAGAACCATGTGGGTTTCCCTTGCTCATGATGCCTTTGAAAATATCTTCGCCCAGTCTCCTCATTGTTGATCTCATTGTTGCATGCTGTTTCAAACAATGCACACAGTTAGTGTGAACAGCTGAACAACACTATCATGGTGCTGTATCAACACATACTTCATCAAGAGACTAATTAGTGAGGGCCCTGGATACGCTGACATTATTTAAGTTGCCTCTGGTTCCAGAAAAAGTTCAGTTTCAGTCAACTCTGTTTTGTAAGGCTGCCTGAAGTTATATCCTGTAAAACCATTTACAGAATCAAAGTCTAAATATGAACCTTAAGAACACTGTACAGGTAATATCTGTTAGAGTTTTTGTCATAAACTATAAAGAAATATTACCTCAAATCAAATGCCACAATATGTTCATTTAAAATATAATTAATTATTAGCAGTAAACACAACAACTTAGTGTTCTATTGAATTTAAACTCAGGATATTTACAAAGTTTGTACCTTTTGATTCAGCAAAAGCACTATTGACGACATTATGCTGAGTCTTTACAGTGTGGTTACTGTCTTTTTCTTTATTATACTGCTACATGTATTCTTATAGCAGTCTAGTGAAAGAGTGCAAGGAATGTCTTGTGTTTAGACACCAAGCAGACAACAGAAAAAAACCACAATTTCATCACTGCTTTGCCACACACTTCTATCAGTTTCAATAAATTTCATGCATAAAGTGCACCTGAAAGTACTGCCTTTTCTAGTGCAAGTTTTGTAACTACATATGCAAAAATGTAATTTCTGATGTGCTCAGACATCACAGCAGAGATCACATGCTTATGAACACTGTCTTTAGATACACAACGCAAAATTTAAATTTAACTTGATTTTTTTTTCATTTGGCATTTATCTGTGGTAATCACTATGAATTTATACTTTACAGCAGTTTCTTTTCTATATAATAGCTGAAAACATACACTTTTCATATGTATTTAAAATGCAAAATCCATTAATATCTTCTGTGAATTTAGCTATTAAAAAAACATACTGCAAGAGGAGTACTTGTTTTACCTGTATATCAGTGTCTAGCTGTCTTATAGACCAGTAAATAAATTTAATTACAGGCATGTGCAGTTTAGAATTCACATATGGCATCCACTGGAGTTGCTCAGTAGCTATAGGCAAAAGCTGTAAAAATACACAAAAGTAGAATTACATGCAGTATATACAACTACTCTATAAGCTAACTGTAAGTGAAAGACAAACAAACAGACTTCCTAATTTTTTTTTGAGTTTTCTCTTGTAGTCTAACAGATCACATAAGCAAATACTCTCTAGGCAGATCGAGTAGAGGTAACAGAATGATATGCATACACAGATTTTAAATGTAAAAGTGAAGATACGTGTGATCTCAATCTCAGTAAATTCAACTCCAGTGGCTATAAATCTTTTATATAATGAAGAAATACAACAGAAATGGATTTTCTGAACATTGCACTGATTTCCAAATCTTGGTATCACCAGAAAGAAAACAAAAGAAGTGCTGAAAGTACAGCACAGCATCACCTTTTATTGGTCATAAATTGAAACATTAATATCTAAATAGGCATAAAAATATTTTAAATTTGACCTTTATCTCCTTTATACAAAGGAATTATGTACAGTATCACACATAAAACACAAGATAAAGTATCAACTGAAAGAAGTGACTAGAAATAAAATGCTGAAACTCTCATCTTGAGACTGGACACCCCACTTTTTATTAAAAATCGTCTGTACGCTTTACAAATGACAATGTATCTACTGTCATTGGAATTACAGTGATTTTGTTCTAATTACATGCTGACCTGTTATATTCTCAGAATCATTTAAACACCCCCTCCTGAAATCTGAAACATGTTAACACAAGCAAACAATCCAAACCCCTTTACCTTCATACACTTTTGCCGAGTAGAGGGTTTATTTGAGCTCTGGGTAACCATAAGTTCATGACTGTCCTCTCTTTCTTCTTGTGTTTTTATTTTGCTGAGATGCTCGTCTGAGATCCAATCCATAAGAAAAGTTAAGAGCTCATAAACTTGTGAATGCAATGGTAGCTGTAATAGATCCATAACATCAGATATTTCAGCTTTCAAGTTAATGACCTTTCTAAGCCAAAACAGTAACAGACTGGAACACATGAGAGTACATTTCTTATGAAATATTATGCATAATATAAAGGATGACAATTTTATGCCTGATAAAATCTGGGAGGTAAGTTACTGTATAGGCAGCCCGTGGAAAACATATTCAAGTAGACAGTGATCTTGAACAGGCCATGTGTACTCTGTTGGGCCTTGTACCTAGGGTTTAAGAAGCCTGTATATTATTAATATGTAACTCACAATATCACTGGGAAAGGTGAACTGTATGTGGATCAAGGGTTGGAAGGTGGCAACCCTGACTGGGAGACTAGTGGGCATAAAGGAGTCAGAGATAACATCACAGTTAACCTGAGTAGGTGTAGCCTGAGCTGTGCTGCACAGATCAATCAACTGCACAGTCTATCCTGTGCTTGGCTGCAGAATAAACTCAGACAGTTCCCACTTGGAACTGCTGATCATGTCTCCTGCCTGGCCTTGTCCTTGTCTAGAAAGGCAACAAGTTCTTCTCCTGTGAACATCCTTCATGAATAGAGTTGTTTTCTTGCAAGAAAATCATGTAATATCTTGAATGGCCAAAAAGGAGAAGCTTCTCTCAGTGGACAGGATCTGCTTGGCATGCCCTGGGAAAAATGCACCCAAGCTTCACCTGATGCTGCATAAACACAAGGTTCCCAGCATCTGAAGGGACACAAGAATTACTTGCTGTCTATATTCCTCCTCTTACTCTGTCTTATTAAAATAGCCTTTTAATTAAGCTATTTGTTGTCAGGCCTTTCTTCCAGAAACCCAGAAGGAATCCTGCAGCGTTTTTCTCTCTCTCTCTTACACCTCACTCCCCAGTGCAGGCATTATTTGTGATGGTTTCTGGTTGTGAAAAAAATATGCCCATCATCTATTTTATATTTGGGCAAATGGTAGTAAAACACCTTGGAAAAAAAATTTCACATACAAAATCACTCCATTTTATAATTCTGGACAAATGAACTACAGGAGAAAATAAGTCTTTAATGTCCTTTGCATGGAGAAATTCTTATGCACTAGGCCTACTTTTCTTTATTTCACACAATTTACTGTTGTTACAATTTAACTGGGCAACTAGCACTGTTAAAAAAAAAAAGACTTTTTGAAATTGTCCTTCTGGTTGTACTACACTGCACTGAAATACTCTATGAAAGATATCCAGAGATACTTGAAGACAGGCTGCACAAACAGTTCTCTAAAGACTTCAAAAGTTTTCTTCTATCTACCTTCAGATAACTGCTTTCCTCTTCTATCAGAACTGTAATTATTGATACTATTTGTATTACACTTGCAACCAAAGTATGCTAAAACCTATGTAAAGAGAATTTGTTGGCCATATATATAGACAGCACGGTTTTTAAGGCACCTAAGGCAGATCAGTTAAGTAGGATGGTATGAATATCTCTTTTTCATTTCACAGTTCACCTCTGTCTGGAAAAAGTCTTTACCAGTCAGGAGATGTTGGCAGAATAATATCAGATCACTTGCTACCAAATGGAATTACGTGGAGAAAGAAAGAATTTCATTAAGTGATGTAAGAAGATTTTTTAAGGAAACAAAGATGATTGTTTTGGAAACAAAGATGATTGTTTTGGACATGTTTTGGAAACACTGCACTTATTCTCTTTCCCTCATCAAAGATTATTTCTCAAAAAAATAACAGTAGTAAATCGCTTTTTGTTTAGAAGATTAAGATTCTTTATCAGATACTTCCGACTGACTACTTTCGTTCGCGAAGCCTAGCCATGATGATGATGATGATTCATAAGGACAGTGCTGTGCTGTACTGCAGCAGTAAGCAGAATAAGTTTAAGATTTTCTCTGACACAGCAAAAGAAATCCGTAAGAGTGGAAGCAGGTTATAATTCTAATTGGCAGATGAAAGATGACATGACACGAAGTGGAAAGCATGCCATATAAATAAAAATATACACATATACTATTCACATATGCAATATGAAATCCAAGACATATTTTTAGCCACAAAATTCATTCTTTAACTGTGTTTTCCCCCAACACAATGTTTCTTTTCTTACTATAATTAATTTACTCATAAAACAAAATTGGAAGCTACATTTTCTAATTTCCAGCAGATACACAGAGAATGTTACACTGCCTAACGCCTTTCGAATGAAAAGAGTCAAGACTTTTGCTCAATTCTTACCTTAGCTATTTTTGATGTTACCATCACTTTTTCCTGTTTCACAGGTTTGCTTTGTTGCATCACTTGACGTATATTGTCAGACTTCCGTACTACCGAAAATTCATGCTTCCTCTACAACAAAATATAACAATGAATCACATTTCACTGGTTACCTATAAAGGAGGCAGGTACATGTAAGAACAAACCTTACCTGTAGGTTTTCTAAACGCGCTTGTACTTTTCGTGCTTGACCTTCCAACTTCTTGTTCAGCTCAGTTACATCACTTAACTGAAAGAATCAGAAAATATTAAAGCATCTGTAAATTCAAAACTGAATTCTTGACTTAGTTATCACACTGAAATAATTTGATACTGCTGTTGAGTAGCTAAATTATTTAAGTTCAATTTTTTTCTTCTCAGCATGTAAAGGGATAGAAACAAAATCATCATAGACCTCCCTCAACAAATTGCAGAATCACAGATTGGCTGAGCCTCAAGAGCACTTCTGGAGGACATCTGGTCCAACCCTGCAGCTCAAGCTGGGCCAGTAAGAACTGGTTGCCCAGGACTATATCCAGATAGCTTTTGAACTGCTCCAAGGTTTGAGATTCTAACACCTCTCTTGGCAACCTGATAAGACACAGGAGTAGCTCTTTGTTGACCTGTAGCCCAACCTTTCAGTGTGAAGGGGAAGAATAAGCACTACAGTATCATTCTAGGTTTACAGGTACTTCACATCTTTTCATGAAGAAGTGACATAAAAAAGAAGCACACATTTCAAGAACTGTACAATAGTCTTGTTAATGGGGAAGGTGAAAGGTTTTTTTCTACAGAATGAGACAGTTACTAACACGCTACAAGAACAGTTTGCTCAGTGAGAAACGATGAGGCAAAGTGCATACAACACGGAACAATGCATCCAACATTGCATATGCATACAACAATGCATACAACATTGCATACAACAGTGAACAGCATAATTATCACAGAAGCCCTCACTTTGCACAGAAATGCAAAGATTTAGCAGTGAGAGGAAATAAGACAGACGTGTTGCACCAGAACCATCAACATTCTAGGATTTAGGTCTGACCTTCTCTAATGGAAAGAATAAGGCTCTGCTGTAGATTTATTGTCCTTCGATCTATAAGAACTGGTATTAATTCAAGGAATAAACAATGATCAAAGACTTTACACAGCAATTTGCCTTGTCAGCATTTTAGGTCAGACTTGACAGTCAAGTCAAACAAATTCCTACTCTCTGTATTACTATGAAACATTATCTCAGTTTAAGAACTCAGAAAATATTGCCTTAATTTGCAAAAATAACTGAAAAAACATGGAGTTAGAAATATACATTGTCCTTTTTTTTTTTTTAACAGAATCAGCAGAGGCAATCAGCACAGAGTGGATATTGTTAAGTCATAAAATTTGCCCTTCCTAACAATTAGCTGTTCCTAGTGGGTCAGAGGAATAAGTCCAATATTTTTTATACTGGAGAAGATCAGAAAGACTAAATTTCAAGTACTAGAAAAATGTGCAGGAAGTACTTTCAGTCATTCACACAACTCTTGTCTCAGAGAAACAAAAAATCAGTAATTTTGCAAACTAAAGCTGCTCAAAGATTTACAATTATTGACTATAACTTGTAAAATTATCTATAGCAGGAAAAAATTTATGTTACCTGTTTCCTCAAAGAGTCATTCATTTCCTTCAAGGTGTCAAATGATGACTTCAGCCTCCTATTTTCTTTAGTTATTTCTCTCAAGGCTTCAGTCAGCTGTTTAACTTCTGCCTCATGCCGCTAGAGAAATATCAAATTTAAAAACATGATTTAAAAGAGACTATTCTAAAAACACCAAGCTCCATTTTGGTGTTAAAATACTAGGACAGACTTTCAAATACCAAGTTCGTCATTCTGCATGGCCAAATTCGCACATTCAGACAGTAGTGAGAAAAACAAGATCTGTCCTGCATATTATGAAGGATCTATATAGAAACAGAGAGCAACATGCACAGACTATAGCTCCTATTCTTTCCAGATTCTACCAAAACCAGACTATATATGTGTATATTTCTCAGAATTCATATGTGGGAAATGTTTGTGAACCAAAATCAATGAAAAAGCTTTTATTTACAGCTCACTCAATTACAAAAAAAAACCCCATGACTGTGTTTTGAGGTTTCGACTATTTTTTTTGGTTTTGCTCACTCTCAATCATGCAGAACAAGAAACTAATCCTATGCCTTGTAGACTAATGCTCTGGTTTACAACAGAAGCACATGAATTGTTAACTACAACCTGCATATCCACTGCCATTCTTCTCTTTGCCCCAAAACTTGTTTTAAACTCCTCTGGACACCAGTGCAGCTCTTTAAGTACCTCAGATTTGATGAAACAGCAAAGTTCTATTTTACTGAAAATAGTCCAGCTATATATACGTACTATCTTTCATTTCTCTCCCTCCATGAATTCACTATTCTTCACTCATTCACCTACTTGATCTCTTCTTTTCCATTTAAAGTCATATCCTATCTCCTTATATGTGCAAATGACAAAAGTAAAGGACAGTAGAAATTTAAAGGATGCAAGTCCTGAAGAGATCCACCTCTGCATTTCTGCTTGGAAACTCAGTAATTTCCATTCCAGCTGTACAGAAAACCATCTACAGTTCCTCTTTTCCTCAAATGTTGCTCTTCTTCAGTCGACAGGATCAGAACAGCTGTGGGCAAGACATTCTTGTCTAAAGCACCTACACATATTTGCCTAAGAAGGCACAGAATCATAGAATCATTTAGGTTGGAAGATCGAGTCCAACCATTAACCTAACGCTGCCAAGACCAGCACTAAACCACGTCCCTAAGTGCTACATCTACACGTCTTTTCGTATCTCCAGAGATGGTGACTCCATCACTTCTCTGGGCAGCCTGTTACAATGCTTGAAAATCCCTTAGATGAAGAAATTATCCCTAATATCCAATGCAAACCTTCCCTGGTGCAATTTGAGGTTGTTTCCTTTTGTCCTCTCATCTGTACGAAATGACAGATCCCCTATCAATACCAATAAACATACAGATGCTGCCAACATATAATTGAGTGCATCCTATCTCATGGAATCTTATGGAATGTTTCACTTCTGTTTTCTACATACACAGTTAACAGCTTTACTTGAAGTTCAAACCCAATTCAGTTGTTAAGCCATAGGGTTGAAGGTGATGCCAGGATGTCTAACCCACCCACTCCCATAATCAAATCAGGTGGTGTCATCTGTATATTAACCAGCTATACCATTTCACTCCTGCCAGATGTTTGTCTCCCCTGTTATGTTATCCAATACTAGGAACACCACAGTCTTGCCAATCTCCCTGTTCATATGCTTAACTGCTTTTGTTACATCTAGTTTTTCAGCCTTTTATGTAGCTGAAGACTGGCACATTCACCCTCAATTAATTCTGTGTGTTTAGCCCATGCACCCAGTTATCATCCTCTGTTGCTGATATTTCTATTCAAATGCAATACTGTACACTCAGGCCTTGTGAACAGTGTACTTTTTTCAGATCTGCTCTCTGGCACCCTTTCCTCCTTTTTAACATGTAGTCTTACCCTCCCTCAACAGCCTGTGGGAAAGGTTTACTTGCACACTTCAAAGAAATTTAATTTCGCAGCTTCTGGTTTTGACACAAAGTACACATGTTTAAGGATTTCTCTTGGAGACCTCTTGGATAATAACCAAAACTTTTCACAAGACTTGAATTCAATACCAAACACTCTCAAGAACAGTGTTATTAATAAGTACCTCTTCTTACAGCAAAATCATACCATTTCATTTCTTCCCACACCCCCAAAGTTAGGTTGATCTTCCTCTGAACTTTTTGAGCCTTTGGTTGCTAATGCTCTCTGCAATAGGTGTTTTGTCATAAGATCTCAATGTGTCTTAAAGCCTTCGCAAGGAAATCCACTTCAACTACAGCTAATTCAAAAACACTCATTTAATGAACATACAATTATAGATAGACCAAAATTTTTTCTCTAATACTGGTCATATAGCTTTTGCTACTTTAGAAATAAGTGATCTCTTTTTTCTAACTTGTAACAGTAAAATGTACATCAGACAACAGTAAAATACATCAGACAACGAAATGCACCATTCTGAAACAGGAGTCATACAAAAATCCTGATAATATTGTTCAGTACTTTCTATATAAGTATCTTCTTTAGGGATTTCCAGCACTTTAAATAAATAAGCAGTATTTCCAGCAAATGTGATGGCTTAAGAGAACTACAAACAAGTTATATGGTATGTAGAGCAGTATCTATCATCAAATATATTTTTTCACCTCTTTTATAGCTCCAAATTTTGTGTGAACTTCTTTCTCAACACCTCTTATTTTAGCCAAAGCTGCTTCATGTTTAAAAAGCAATGCTTCTCGTTCTGTTAGACAGCGCTCTCGTTTCTGGAGTTGCAGAGCATACTCCTGCTGTGCTGAACTTTCTCTCTGTATCAAGAAAAAAAAATGTTGAAACTACTTAAAAACCCCATGAAGTTGTGACAAATTATACTGCATCTGAATTTTTGGTCCAGAGATGTGCTTAGATTTTGTGAAATTACAGTGTTACACAAGAGCTTACTAATACAAAGTATCCTGATGGCCATCTATGTTCAGTTTCCTCACATGTTAACCCAAATGACTGATGTACATTGGTATGGCTCAGCCTCCGAAATACAAAATTCAACTCTACATTGTTGCTCAAGTATAAATCTAGACAATTAAACTTTGGCTTTTGCTTCCAAAATATTTGGGTAATAGTACTAACCGTAAGACAGAAGAGAGTCTGATGTGACTGTCTATGCTGAACACTAGATTTATTGTTTCTTCAGCTAGTGGGAAGCATCCCTGAAAAACTGGTGAGGGATAAAGAGGTACAAAATTATTTTTATCTCATATGGTGCAAAAGACAGTCACATCAGGGAATCTAGCAGAAGCTGAGGAACTCTTACAGAGTAAAATCACATAGGAGGTTCTTCTGTCAGTAGGCTAGGCCTGCTAGAGATGGACTGGTGGGATGAATGGAGGGTTTTTGCAGGAGGCCGTGAAGGCAAGTGCTCCGGAATGCACAGAGTCAGAAGAACAGCTTTAGATGCTCTCAAGAAGCAACAGCTGTGGGTGCTTCCCTCCATGTCCACCACAAGACAGTAGAAACACTGTGTTCAAACTCCCTCAAGCTGAATCTACCCACCTACCCAACCTACCCATAATCCAAGTCAAAGAACCATTACCGAATCAGTGAATTTAGGGAAAGAGGCATATGAAGACAGAGGTTTAGTACCTAAGTAATTGCGATTAGTGTAAAGTGATAGCACTAAGTAATAGCTTTACTACATAAGTAAGTTTTACTATGCACATAATTTCTGATTTATCAAAAGTAAGAATCTTCATAACATTATTTAAAAAAAAAATTAAGGCGATTACAGTTCCTACCTGAAGTTTCTGATGTATGACAAATAATTCATCATAAATTTGACCGATGTGAGGTGGTATTAAGCCTTGGCTTTTGCATGCCTGAGAATCAGTTCCCCTCACAATTTTCTTTAACAAACTATCGACAATATTTTGGTCACTATTTTCTTGTGTATTTGCAGCCAAATGAGATGGTAAGGTATGGCCTGTGGACAAGAACAAAAAAATTTTGCATTAAAAAATTAGTCCTAGCTAAATAATTATATAACTGTTGTATAAAACCAGAGAAAAGGTATTTTAGGAATTCAGAGTAACAAATATAAAGCAAGATGTATCAAAATATGAAAGTAATCTAAAGAATTACAGAGAATTGCTCAAAGGGTATTCCACAATTTGTTTGAACTGATTAGGAATCAATGGAGTTTTTTAAGTAAAACTATGCCCTCCACTGCAATACAGAAATACCAGAGATATATGTATAGGATCTATGCACAGATCGAGTCACTGTGTTGCCAAAATCCCCTATTATTTTTGTGAGGGCTTCAGGCAAGTGATTTGCTGTTGACTAGACCTTATGCTGCCACCTAAGTTAGCAGAAGAAGACTTAAACTACGGGACACCACATGAGAAACTGTTCGACGTGACAGATTACAGTGTAAGGAGCTGATGAAAGCTGCAGATGGCACAGTGAGGAATGGTTGGATTTCACAAATAGTCAGATGGACAAAGCTCACAGGTAACTGAAGGGAAGTATTGGGATCTTTTTGGGGAGAGACATCAGGATAAGATAACCACATCAGGACAAGATCACCTAGGCAACAGTATCAGAAATACTAATTTGGTACTTTGCTGTTTTTTGGCTGGGATAGAGGCAATTTTCTTCACAGCAGTCAGTGTGGAGCTATAGTTTAGATTTGTGCTGGAAACTGTTGATAACTCAGGGATGTTTTAGCTATTGCTGAGCAGGCCTTGCACAGCATCAAGGCCTTTTCTGTCTCTCACCCCACCTCACCAGCGAGAGGACCGAGGGTGCACAAGGAGCTGGGACACAGCCAGGACAACTGACTCCAACACCATATGGTGTCATGCTCAGCACATAAAGCTGGGGGAAGAAGGAGGAAGGAGGGGACATTCAGTGTGGTGGTGTTTGTCTTCCCAAGTCACCATTACATGTGGTGGAGCCTGGCTTTCCTGCAGGTGGCTGAACAAATGCCTGCCCATGGGAAGTGGTGGATGAATTCCTTGTTCTGCTTTGTTGGACTGCGTGGCTTTTGCTTTACCTATCAAATTGTCTCCATTGACAGCTCTATTGATCTGTTCTGCCTGGCTTCTGAGATTCCCTTTAGCCACTTTGGGGTTGGTTGTCTGTCTGTCTCCACTTTTTCACATACACTTTCAAAAGAACACATCAGTGTTCTTCTAAACCTAAAACTCTCCACAAGAGAGGGCTACACTGATTCACAAACTCCTTTACTTACATTTTCAGTGAATGAACGCCACCTGCTCCCTGCTACAACATTGTAGCTAGAATTTCCTGGGTTAGCTGAACAAAGGGTAACACTACCTATTGCAAGTTTTTCCATCCTTAGAGTGACAAAAAACATCTGATTAACAGTTGTAGTATTTGTTAATGTAGCTAGCTACTTAAAACAAAATAAAGCAAAAAAACACAAACAAAAATCCAAAACCCAACTTGTTTCTTTATTTATATTATAAAGTCAGCTGGCAACCAGTTTCATAAAAGGTTGATCTCTTTTTTTAAAAATTTATGTTAGTATTGCTTCAAGTATGTCTGGACCTCCTAAAATAAGTCTAAAGGAGTTACTCATACTTACGTGAAAGGTTAAATCCCTCCACCTTAAAATACATTTTAGTTGATTAATATTTATTACCTGTTTCCATGTATATAGCTGTATTTTGAATTGCATCAGTTTCAGAGCAAATAATGGACTTTTCTTCTATTTCTAGACCATTTGAATCACAAAAAGAATCTTGCTCATCATCAAAACTAAAAATACAAAAAAGCAATAATTTAAAATTACTCACTTCCTTTTTAACATGCTACATAACTGAGCACTGAGAGAAGGCTGTATAAAAAGGCAAATGTTGCTAAATGTACGACTTTGATATTTGACTAATAACAAATAGCAGAGTTAAATCATTTGGATGGAAGGCATTATTACTCACAAGACTCTAACCACAGCAATTAGTAGTGTTGCTGACTTAAAAGTAATAGCAGTAACTAGGATTTTCATGCTGTAAGCATATGTATACAACAGGTAAAACCAACACTCTTCTTTCATCACAAACAACCAAATTCCTGGAGAATTAAAAATACATGCCCCCTTTTTAAATTATATTTTTCATATTTGGCGTAAAAAAGCTCTGAGAAGTAATTTTTTGGCTTTTGGAATCAAATTATCGCTAAAAAACCATAACTCTGCTTATCAGTCTGAGCTATTTACTTTCCTTCTCGTTCATTTTTTATCACCTAGTTCAGTTTTTATCATCCCTGTATCCCACTAGCAATTTCAATATGCACAGATCAGATCAGAAAGTGAGACAGTTCTGCTCATCAAAATCAACATCCACATTATCTCATAAGTTACCCAGAAACAAGTCTTTACTCAAGAAAACAAGAATCTTAAAACAATTTTTGCACAGTCCAAATGTGTCATTTATGCCTGATTTATCTGGATGTTGAGAGGAAATAAATGATAAAGGAGAACTGAAAACACCTCCTACCAATCCCAGTCTTTAAAACTTTTTAGGAAATTAGATCTGATGCTGTTGTCTCTTCCAGTTGCCAGTAAATTCTGACTCTAAAGAACAACTTGACAAAGAAATAGCTGTGTTTTCCAGTGAGCTGTCCATGACACCTGCAATACACAAAATTATAACAGTTTTATTTTGCATTTGAGAAGCTGACATTAAGAAATCAACAAGGGCTTATTAGAAGTGTAATGTAATCATGTAAGTTTAAGAACCAAAACCACCACTGATGCAGCATGACAAATTAAGAATTATAACAGCTTAAACTATAGTAAGACTTATTTAGCATTCACATCAGATTTGTCTTTTTGAAGATTCAGAGCTTGCCTACATACACCAGTTTTTCTGTAACTGAAGCCTGAAAAATACATTGTTTTAGCCTGCTGCCCACATGCACTAGCAATGTGTTTCTCAAGACGCCCAAATACATTCTAAATATTAAACATTTATGTATCTTTAAATTAAAACCAAATATATGCATTATGAGGTGGACTGCTACCAACTATGTCAAGCAGGCCTTAAACAAAAATAAGCTGTTCTAAAATATCCTTTGGGCTCTTTACTCCAGTGTTAACATTCCCAGGCTGGCTCCCAAGTATCACAACCCCCTGATCAAGAATATCTACCTATTCAAAATGAAAAAATATAAAACTACTTTCAATAAATTTAGGAACGATAGAGCTCTGGTATATATTTTCCCTGAAAAAGATCAAAGCACCGTTGCTTGTTATTACCTTTGTATACTAGGGAGCTTCCACTTTTACATTTGGTATGCAGTGCTCCCAAGAGGCAATCCTATGAGAAAACAAAAACCACTGTAATCTAGTAAGAATTTTCAGGGAAAATGTATGTTACAACTTAGCTGTTTAACAGTTACAACTCCTTGTGACAGAATTCTTACTACAAACTACTAGCTTTGAAAAAAAAGTGGTTTTTTCCTCTATCTATAAACATGGCTGTCATACTAATGTAAAGAGGCAAATATATTCCTTACAGCCTAATAATGAAATATTCATAGTGTTATACATTAGAATATTTGAGCCTAAAATTTGAGCATATAAAGTACGATGAAGATAAAATAAAGTACGGTAACAAAATAAAGGCATAAAAGTAGAACCAGGTAATCACAGAAAGTGCCATCTACCTTCATACCTAGGCTTTTTGTGTCAAAGTTTCCTGCTCTACTTTTTCTTACTATTTTGTAACTACATACTAAAAAAGTGACAGAAATTTTATGCTACAAGCAAAATCAATTAGATGTACATTAGAAAATATTGAAAATATCAGACTCAAGGCAGTTCTCATGATCTTAGTTGTTTCACTGCATCTCTCTGCTGTGTTCTAATCAAGCGATCAACTGCTGTAATTTCTTGTACTTAAATCATAAAATCATAGAATCATAGAATTAACTGGGTTGGAAGAGACCTTCGAGATCATCAAGTCCAACCCTTGATCCAACCCCACTGTGATTACCAGATCACGGCACTCAGTGCCACATCCAGCCTCGTCTTAAAAACCTCCAGGGACGGTGAATCCACCACCTCTCTGGGCAGGCCATTCCAATGCCTGATCACTCACTCTGTAAAAAAATTTCTTCCTAATAGTCAACCTAAACCTCCCCTGGCAGAGCTTAAGACCATGCCCTCTTGTCCTACTGCTGATTGCCTGGGAGAAGAGGCCGACCCCCACGTGGCTACAACCTCCTTTCAGGGAGCTGTAGAGAGTGATGAGGTCACCCCTGAGCCTCCTCTTCTCCAGAATAAAGAACCCCAGCTCCCTCAGCCTCTCCTCATAGGACTTGTCTTGAGTCCCTTCACCAGCCTGGTTGCTCTTCTCTAGACCTGCTCCAGCACCTCAATATCCTTCCTGAACTGAGGGGCCCAGAACTGAATGCAATACTCAAGGTGTGGCCTCACCAGTGCTGAGTACAGGGGAAGGATCACTTCCCTGCTCCTGCTGGCCACACTGTTCTTGATGCAGGCCAGGATGCCATTGGCCTTCTTGGCCACCTGGGCACACTGCTGGCTCATGTTCAGCTTCCTGTCAATCAGCACCCCCAGGTCCCTTTCCACCTGGCTGCTCTCCAGCCACTCTGTGCCCAGCCTGTAGCGCTGCAGGGGTTGTTGTGGCCAAAGTGCAGGACCCGGCACTTGGCCTTGTTGAACTTCATCCTGTTGCAATCAGCCCAACTCTCCAGCCTATCCAGGTCCCTCTGCAGAGCCCTCCTGCCTTCCAGCAGGTCGACACTCCCTCCCAACTTGGTGTCATCTGCAAATTTGCTAATGATGGACTCAATCCCCTCATCTAAATCATCAGTAAAGATATTAAACGGGACTGGGCCCAGCACTGATCCCTGGGGGCCACCACTGGTGACCGGCCACCAGCTGGATGCAGCCCCGTTCACCAGCACTCTCTGGGCCCGGCCCTCCAGCCAGTTCTTAACCCAGCAGAGAGTGCCCCTGTCCAAGCCGTGGGCTATCAGCTTTTCCAGGAGTATATTATGAGAGACAGTGTCAAAGGCTTTGCTGAAGTCCAGATAGACACATCCACAGCCTTCCCCTCATCCACCAAGTGGGTCACCTGATCATAAAAGGAGATCAGGTGGGTCAGACAGGACCTGCCCCTCCTAAACCCGTGCTGCCTGGCTCTGATCTCTGATTGCACTCAGGATGATCTGCTCCATTACCTTGCCAGGCACTGAGGTCAGGCTGACAGGCCTGTAGTTTCCCGGGTCCTCCTTGCAGCCCTTTTTGTGGATTGGTGTGACATTTGCCACCTTCCAATCATCTGGGACCTCCCCAGAGAGCCGGGACTGTTGGTAAATGATGGAGAGCGGCTTGGCGAGCTCTTCCGCCAGCTCCCTCATCACCCTAGGATGGATCCCATCTGGTCCCATGGACTTGTGTGGATCCAGGTGGCTCAGAAAGTCACTGACTATTTCCTCCTGGAATACAGTGGGGCTATTCGGCTTCCTGTCCCTGTCTACCAGCTCCAGAGTTCAGTTGTGCTGGCTTGCCTTTTGGCACACTGGTACAGCCTGTTCCTCTGCACTCAAGACTTCCTTCTTGAAGCATGTCCATCCCTCCTGTACCCCCTTGTTTTCAAGGGTTTTTTCCCAAGGTATGCTCTGGACCAGTCTTCTGAACACGCCAAAATCTGCCCTCTGGAAGTCCAGTGTGGAGGTTTTATTGGTGACCTTCCTTGTATCCCTGAGTATTGCAACTCTATTATTTCATGGTCACTGTGGCCCAGACGGCCTCCAACCACTACATCTCCCACCAGCCCCTCTCTGTAAACAACAGGTCTAGTGGGGCCCCACCCCTGGTAGGTTCATTTACCAGCTGGAGCAGGAAATTATCCTCTATACACTCCAGGAATCTCTTAGACTGCCTCTTCTCTGCCGTGTTGAGCTCCCAGTAGATATCTGGCAGGTTGAAGTCGCCCACAAGAACAAGGGCTGGCGATTTTGAGACATCTGCCAGCTGCTTGTAGAATAATTCATCCCCTTCATCATCCTGGTTGGGTGGTCTATAACAGACTCCCATTAGGATGTCAGCCTTGTTGGCCTTCCCCCTGATTCTGATCCACAGGCACTCAACCTTATCATTGGTGACCTCAAGTTCTACAGAGTCAAGGGACTCTCTAACATACAGAGCCACCCCTCCACCTCTCCGACCCTGCCTGTCCTTTCTGAAGAGCTTGTAGCCATCCATGGCAGCACTCCAGTCATGCGAGTCATCCCACAGTCATGCAAGTCATGACCACTTTCTAATGAAATAACACACAAACAAATGTTACATTTTCTTCCTTGCAAGCATTACACTTTAAAGTCTCAGTGACAGTCTTTTAAAGAAAAGTTTTCAAAATTATTTTCCCTTGAACCACAGCTCTGTAATTCAAGCAGAGTGTTCCCCAAGAGAAACACAGAATCTAGAGCACCACCAAATGCTACTCATGTCGTTAATCCTTCTGCAGAAACTAACGACACATACAGCCTGATTTTAGTTGCAAAAGAACTCAAATCTTTACATCGTATTTGGGACAGTTCCTGATCCTAAAATGGCAAGTCACGCTTCCTCAAAAAAAAGGTTTTGCATTCATCTGACGATTCCCAGGACCAACGTGATATCCCTGTACAACTACATGTCTAGCTCAAACCCAGTTTTCAATCTCTCTCAGACTGCGGTTGTTCATGGGTATTTTTCCAACATATGACTTCCTTTGCAGCAGGAGTTTGAATTTGTTTCAGTGAAAAATGAACAGAATTCAAACAAAACAAAGAATCACAGAATCAGGTTCCTGACCAGCAAGAATTCCTTCTATGAATTATCAAAGGCTTTTGAAACACTAGTGGGGGGAGGGGTCTTTGCTGCTGGATTTTTAAGCAGATCAGTTTCCCAATCCACTGTGCAAAGCCTTAAATGCTTATGTGAGCACAAGGAAACAGAGGAACCACAGTCCAGTTCCCTCATTCATATCAGTGCAAAGAACCTGGCATTCTCTGGTGTAAAATAACACTGCTGTACTTTGGCAAGGGAATGATACTCATCATAATTTGCTGCCTGGTGAATGCAGAACTCTCTTATGAACTACAGGTTTGATTCTTCTCTGACTGACTAGATATGGAACACTTTCCTGCTCTCTAACAGAGCCAATCACTAGGCTTCACCAAAAAAATCCCAAACACTCCTAACCCATTCTAAGTAAGGCTGCTAGTTGCTGCACCTAAAGGAGAGAGAAATGACTTTTCCTACTATATATATTCCATACACGCTTAGCAGACTACTTCTAAGACCATTCACATATGATCTCACTCAAGTGGCAGGCACTAGAAGGTTTTAGGCAAAAAATAAGCTTTTTGGTAACGCACAAAATTTGGAACTGCAATTTTCAGGGAAATTTCCAGATCAGGCAAGGATGACTCTTCCGCACTCCCACTGTAAGGCAGTCAGAGCACAGGGGTAGGACTAGAAAGAACACATACCTCCCCAAGTCCGTTTACACCCCCCTTTTGTCCCGCACTGCAGGGATGCAGCACCGCGGTGCTCACACCGAACCCGAGGGAGGGAACAACAGGCCCCCCGCTGCAGCCCCCTCCCCAAGCACCGCGAGGGCGCGGCCAGGAGGAAGGGGTTTCCTGCTCTCCCTTCCCCCTGGCCGCCCAGCCCCGGCCCCGCCGTCTCACCCCCGCGGGTCCCCGCGGGTTCCCCGTTTGCAGGCGCCGGGCGGAGCGGCCAAGGCTGAGGCCGGGCCGGGGCGCTGCTCCCGCTCCCGCTCCCGCTCCCGCCATGGCGGCACCGCCGCGCTCGAACGAACCGCCGCCGCCCGCGCACGCGCAGAGGCGCCCGCCGCCCGCCCGGCAGGGCGAGCGGCAGCGGCGGCCGCGGGCGGGAAGGGCAGGGCAGGGCAGGGCAGGGCAGGGCCGAGCCAGCCGCACCTCACACGGCTGCGGGGAACGGGCACAGCGCTGGGACTGCGCGCTCTCCTCCCGCCGAGCCAGCCGCACCTCACACGGCTGCGGGGAACGGGCACAGCGCTGGGACAGCGCGCTGTCCGCCCGCTGAGCCAGCCGCACCTCACACGGCTGCGGGGAACGGGCACAGCGCTGGGACAGCGCGCTCTCCTCCCGCCGAGCCAGGCAAAGCGGTTTTGTGGGACCTTTAGGGAATCACAGAATCACTAAAGGCTGGAAAAGACCTCTGATCATCGAGTCGAACGTGTGACCGACCACCACCACGTCAACGAGATCATGGCACCGAGTGACACATCCAGTCTTTCCTTAAAACACTTAGGGAGGATGACTCCACCACCTTCCTGGGTAGCCCATTCCAATGTTTAATCACCCTTTCTGTGAGGAATTAATGTCCAACCTAAGACTGCCCCTGTTATAGTCAAAAGACCAGATATATATATATATATTTTAAATGTAAAAGAAATTTATTAAAGGCAAAGAAGCAAAACAGCGTGCTGGGAGACCGGGGGAAACTCCTGTTCCACCAACGGTCTGCCCCGAGGCAAGCCCACACCCCACTTTTTATAGCCCCCTCTATCCCCACCCTTTAAGTCTCTTTTGATTTTTTTATTGGGTTTCCTTTCGCGGGCTCCCCCGATATTGGTCCTTGCTTTCGCCGGCTCCATCTCTCACCTGAGCTCAGCCAATGTTTTGGTTAGACCAATGTTTTGGTTAGACCATAGTCCTTAGTGTCTGCCACCTGGAAATTTCCAGAGGGGGGTAAGTCCTTTCCTTTGGTTCTTTGCTGTTTCATTCTATTTTGCTTCCCTACAAGTCTGCTCAGAACAAACACATAAAATGACAAGACATAACATACAAATTCATAGCTAATTATACCTATTGCTCCTTATTACCTATTACAGACACGACATTGTGGCTTGATACTTACAATTCAAACCAACCACTAACATTACAGATATAATTTGATTAGCAAATTATCCACCTTTGCTTTTATTAACTATTACACCCCAGTGTATCTTAAGACTATGTCCTCTCATCCTCTCACCTCAGAGAAGAGCCTGACCCCCACCTGGCTATAACCTCCCTTTGGGTAGTTGTTGACAGCGATAAGGTCATCCGTGAAGAAGTACTACTACCATCCCGTAAAAATAAATAAATACAAATCCAAATAAAACTTGAAGCCGAATATACAAGTCACATATTTCCAATTTACAGATCTTAACAACAAATTAGTTACTTTGGCAAAAAAAAATCCTTGATAATGCCAGCACTGAACTGTAGAGCATCAGTTTAAATAAGCCCCACATTTATCCATGCATACTCACTATTGAGAGGCAAAGTTTTTCAAGATACTAGTACTTTAAACCCTGCAGTGAGGTCTGAGAAGTTGAAAACAGCTAATAAAAACTGAGCAGAGGCAGGAGAGCAGCATCAGAGCAGTAGCACTGGGTTATACTCCAGCATTTCAGGTAAAGTCCCAATGTTTAGTAGATTTTTTTTTTGATATATCAAGTCTTTTAGAAATATTTTAAGTACAAAAAAAATAGTTGGTATACTTCTCTAGAAAAACACTGTTCAGTACATTTAATAACTATGCTCTCTTAAATACTGAGATGATATTGAGAGACTCCAGAGAGCCTGAACAAGTATGCACCTGCCTCAGCTTGCATTCTGCACAATGGAATGTCCATTAACTTTCAAAGGATTTCAGTGTGCTGTCCAGCAATTCGCATCTACAATCTGCACATTCAAAAGAGCTTCATAAGAGCAGGAAGCCAAATTACACAAGTTTGTTTTTTTTTTTAACAAATCAAAGTGAAGACAAGACATTTATTTTAACAAGACTAGGATTTTATTTTTAAAATTTGACACTTAATACAAATATGTCAGGATAACACAAATACACCTGAAATATGCCAGTGCCTGAACTTTATTTAACATGCAAAAAAATCAATTAGAACACATAAAAAAATCCAACTATAACCTGTAATTTTACATTTATACATCAGAAGTGTCCATTTTAAGAAGTTGAAATAATTAGTAAATAACATCTAAGTACTGATTTATACCGCTAAAACATTTGTTTACTCAAAGAAATAATTCTATATTTGCCCACAGTCTGTAATGACAACTCTTGCATTTACTAGCCCTTTAGGAGAACCGAAGGATTCAATCTTTTTCACGACATCCATTCCATCTTTCACAAACCCAAATACAACATGCTTGAAGTCCAAGTGTTCTGCTTTTTTAAGTGTTATGAAGAACTGAGAATTATTTGTATCCCTGCCCTTATTTGCCATTGACAACAATCCAGGACCAGTGTGTTTCACTTCAAAATTCTCATCTTCAAATGCTGTTCCATAAATTGACCGTCCACCTGTTCCATCATGGTTAGTTATATCTCCTCCCTTAAAAAAACAAAACAAAACAAGAGGGGGCACAGCATTAAGTGACAAGTCCCAAAACACAAACCAACAATTCTATTTCCTTTTTGTTTTGCTGGCTCCCTGTTATTTGATTACACACATAAAAGTGATAATGTGTGCTATTTTATCTTTGAAGGAAAGCCTTAGTTCTTATTGAAAAGCTTTTCACTGTACCTGAAGAAAGTTTAGGCAAAGCAGACCAAACTTAGAATATACTAATTTCATGTGATAAAAGCTCACTTTTTGTCACACATACATGGTACAGACTACCATTTTAAAAGAAAGCCTGCTCTTTATAGGATGTGGAATACCCTGAAACAAAGTTAAACCCTAAAAGAGCTAACGCTGCTTTATCAGAAATGGCTCTTTTGCAAAAACTTGGCACCTAAAGTGCATACTTCAGGCACAGGTGATACCTAATCAAGAGACAGGGTAATATTTTATTCTGGTTACAAGCCTTTCATATATAACTGTCTAATTGAGTATAAGGCTGTCTACATACCTCAGCTTCAGTGATATAGTGACATCTAGAACATTAGCATAGCATGTATGGAAGTTGGTTCATTCTGCTCATTACAAGTCACTAAAACTCAGTGAATTCTTGATGAGAATTCTAGAAAAGGAGAGGTCTATCTGAGCTATGATCTATCACCTAAGCCTTCAGCATTTATCATGAACTTGCTAGTGCTACTGAAAGCACACCAAGGTTTAAAACCAACACTGTCTACATGGGGGTTCAGATGCACAGCAGGCTGATACTCTCAATTCAGAATTCAAGTATTTTAAGGAACAGGCCATTGCATGACAACCAGATCTACAGGACTTCTTTTAGATGGAAACCTGAACATCTAAGTACTTGGAATATCAGTTTTCAGGTACATGTTACCTGAAATATAAAGTGTACCCTAAACGGTAAGAGAATCCTGGAAATTAAGTGTTCTTAGCAGGTGAGTGTTGTGGTTTTGCCAACCCAACCCCCCCCCGCCGGGGATGGAAATAGTTTTTCCAGGTAGATTTCCAGAGCAAAGCCAATCAAAAGTTTTAGTAACACCTCTGCCAATTACATATTTAAGAAAATGGAGGAGCAGGTTGTTGTGCAGATGAAATTAAGAGCCATGCAGGAGAGGCAGCAGGCCCAAGTGGGCCAGAGCCTCCTCCTCCTCTGGCCCTGGGCTGGGGGCAGGTGTGGCACTGAAGCCCCCCTTCTCTCTTGTAACAGAGTAGAATAAAAAAAAACCTCTAAAGGAAGACTGCCTGGACGAGAAATGCTGCAGAAGAAATTCTGGCAGAGAGATAATGGACCTCCAAGGTCAAAGCTGGCAACTGAGAGAAGAGAAAAGCTGCGAAGGGGGGTGGAGGGAAACTCCTCTCCCTTCAGCAAGGAAAAGACTGAAAACTAAAATCCCTGCCACCTGTGGAAAACTACTGGAGAGCAGAGACAATCCTCTGCAGCTCATGAAGGAGCCCACGCTGAAAGCAGAGTGCATGAAGAAGATGTGACTCCGTGGGAAGGCCTAGGATAAAACAGAGTCCTGCTGGAGACCTGTGGCCCATGGGGACAGAAACCTACACTGGAGCAAGACAGCTCGGGTAGGCTTGGGATCTCAGTGAGAGATCTGTGCTGGTGCAGCTGAATTTGTGACCCTGAGGGACAGCAGGGAATGGAAGAACTGTTGCCCGACAGATGGACCCATGTCGGAGAGGTCTATCAAGGACTGTTCTCCCATGGGAAGGAACCCCACAGGAAACAGGGGTGGACTCAAAAGCCATTATCCCTTGTAACCTGTGGTGAAGATCCATGGTAGGCAAGTATCCTCTTGCAGTCCATGTAAGACCCTAGAGGGCCTGGGTAACCCCTCAGCCTCTGTTCTTAGCCCAGGAGGGGGTAGGCCCAGCCCTGAGGTCGACATAGAAGAGAGAGAGAAAGAGAAACAGTTCCAAGCTGCAACAAATCAGAGTTGTTGTCCTAGAGATAACAGAAGAACTTTCAAGTTCTTCTCGAGCTGCAAAATTATTTAAAAAACCTGTAGCTCTAGAAATGGAGCAAAGAGACTGTTTCTCCTCCTGAACTGATATGAAGGGGGAGGGGTACTTCTGTAACTACATAGCACTTTTACCTAATTAGAATTGTTGTAATTGTTGTAAATACAGTTCTTTAGTTTTTATCTTGCTAGTAATAAATCTTAATATTATTCTCCCCAATTGTCTGCATAAACCTTCTCTCAACTTAGAGCAATTGTGTGGTGAGAGAAAATTGTCCCAAAGCAAGCCCATGACAGTGAGCATACAGGAGCTCCTCTCTGCACAGAGAGAAAAATGAATGGTAGTTTTGGGAACACCTACTTTCCTTGGTGTTCCTGTTCAGCAACAGGCCCCTTGCCCATTTCTAAGAGGATTTCTTTATCTCCATTTTTTATTTCCACACTAACGTGACACCACTAGGTAACACTGAGTCATGAGGAGCTGGCAGACACGGGTAAATGTCTAGATTAGGGAAGCATGTGCTGCTTGCACCATTTCTCATCTTGTACGGAAAGGGTGGATAAGAGTATCCTGCACAATGGAGCCATGCTGCCAACAAGAATGTGCTATCCTGTAAAAGTGATTTTTTGAAGTGCCATCTTTAGTGGAGACATCTCATTCAAAGAAGAGTCTTCCTGCTATGCTTACCTGACACACAAAGTCGGTGACTATTCTGTGAAATCGGGAGTTCTTGAATCCAAATCCTTTCTCTCCAGTGCACAGGGCTCTGAAGTTTTCAGCAGTTCTTGGGACAATATTTGAAAACAGCTCCATGGTTATGTGTCCTAAAGGTTCATCATCAGCAGAAACTTCAAAATACACAACAGGGTTGGTGTCCTTTGACAGTCCTGCTGCTAGAGATAAGTGCCCCTTCTGTAGTTCTGACAAGCTTAGCTGACACTCTTCAAATCTCCTCTTGAAAGAATTAGCCATTTCTTGGCTTTTAAATCGGACTGCAAGTTGCTCAACTTTTACTTCACCATCTGAAAATAAATCCAGAAAGAGGGTTTCTTTAGTTTCATCTTGTAATAATCTCCAGAAAAAAACAAAGCCACAGAAACTACAGACCACCAAGGAAAAAAACAAAAACCACCTGAAAAACTCACCAGCATAATCTGTGGCTGTCCAAATTAAAGCATTGTTTGATGTATCAGAGGGCACTAAGTTCATTTCTTTGGTGATGACATGGTTTGCACAGACTTTAAGTACTTGGTCTCTTCTCATTAGGACTCTATAGTATTTCTTCTGCGTATGAAAGAGGATCTTGATCTCTCCAACACCACGCTCCTTCCACTGAGTAGCATCCCTGTCCCATCTGTAGAGTTTTGCCCTCTCTTTGAAGAGAATCTCTTCATCTTCTTCTCCAGATTTTACCTCCACCTAGAAAACCAACACAGTAGAATGAGCACCTGTGATTTCCTAGAGTGATAGTAAATAGTTATTACACAGTTATGATGATTCTGACATATTACAGTGGAAAATTATTCAGTATGTTCCCATCTCCAACACAACACTCATCACACTAAAGTGAGTGTGATATTTAGCCTTTTCAGAATTTAAGAGCCCAACAAATTCCACTGTTTGAGATTAATTACAGCACTGCAATACTCCTTCACCATGCTGCATATGGTTTTGTCAAGTTTCCCAGGAAAGTTTCAGGTTTTCTGAGTGATGTGCATACTGAGAAGGGAAGACATGGTACTATTACAATTGCAGGAGTTCTTTTGAACGTTGTTAAAGAACTCGATATTTGTATTTGAACAGAATAAACACCAAGTCCAACAAACAGGCCTGACAAAAAATGTTACAGAAGTCATAATATGACACAGATGAGCAAAGGCACACTGAATTATAAAGAAGGTTGTTGAAAGCATGTTACAAAATAAATCAGATTAACTGTTCAAATTAAAGGATGCTGCATGCTGTTTATTTATGCTCTATTTGCCTTGCTTAATAATTTTACTGATCTATAGTTGAATTATATCATTTATAGAAATGCCAGACAGTATGACTAGCATCAAAAGAATCAGAAATGCTTATTAGGCACACTGTGGCTAAACAACAAATAAAGACATAACTGTGTGAAGCCTCACCCCGTAAGTTGTAAGTCTACCTTCAAAGTTGAAGGTTCTCCTACTTCTTGAAAAACAATTTATTTTCCAAGTAACAAAGTTAGTTCCCTTAGCCTTCAGGTGAACTTAGTAGTGTATCTTTTTGCTTAGGGATCCTTAGAAATATCTTGCCTAGTTTAGAGTAAAAATTGTAAATTGTTAAGGCTTTCACAGAACTGAATCTACAAGCCTTGATACAAAGCCACAGCTGAATTGTATTGGCACTAGCATTTATCCAGTTCCCCTTCCTGTTCTTCAGCTGTGCTATATATAATATTTTAGTTTTTACATGTTATGTGTACAGATTTGCACCCTGATCGACACTCAGCCAAGGTATAGAGAAATCAATGTTTAAGATTTTAACTGAGGCACCAGGCCCTTCCCCTGTGCTACGAGGTACTAGGATTTAAAACAGCAGGTGTTTCTACATAGCCAGTGTAAGACATGCAGAACAAGGTCCACGCAACACAGAAAGCAAAGTTAGTTAAGCAAAACATCTTTTAAAAACTTGTTGTGTTAGCAGACATGCTTATTTAATGTTGTTTTATATTCCAGAAGTCATCTTACCTCTGGTAAAGACACAATTGGCTCAAAGTGGATATCATCACTGTGCACCACCTCATCATCACTACCACCTTCATCTTCCTCTGCTTTAGGGGCAGTGTCTCCAAACACAGCTGCTCCTGTATTTGCCCATTTGAAGTTTTTATCTACAATTAAGAGAGTTACATTTTAAACTTTGTGTCATTTTTCTCTTCCTGACAACAAACTTGCAAAAAGATTGTTGTTTCTATGGATCAATAGAAATACAGTACATAAAAGTTTTATTGTAGGAAGCAGAAGTCCAGCTGAGATCTGCCTCAGAGATTAGTCCAACTCACCTTTTGAGCCAAAAGCGAAATCTCCAGAGCTTTTGGAAGCCAGATCTGCAAATGATAGGCCTGCAGTATTGCCGAAACCAAATGAGATGACTCTGTTTTCTATGAAATGAAGAGGCGAAAGTCAAAAGTTCCTCTCTACTTTCTTAAAGAAAATACATTTATGTAGTCACACAAGAATATACTGGATAAGTGTCTGCAGTATTTTTATCATCCAATAAATTTACGTCTGTGTGAAGTATGTCATAATGACAGTTTATTATAGCTTAAAATAAGGGCACAAGGCAGAGTTTCAGCATTCTACTTCTGTACAGATCCACAGAGCTGTAATGAGTATTCATGTGGTATTTAATACTGAACTAATGAAAGTATATCTCATAAATTACACAGCAGACACTAGCACTGTTCTGCAGTAGTGAATTTGAACACAACAAAAATTCAATAAAATTATTTTAATCCCCAGACACATTTTTACTAGATTGGTACTTATGCTTCTCATTCATCATTGGCACTACTTCTCAAGACAGCAATTAGATAAACTGATCTACAAAAAATCATACTAAAAGCCCCAGAACATACCTCTAACCTTACCTTGTGTTGACTCTGAACAGTCTGAATCACTCTTTTTAGTTGACAAGTCTACAGGTGTGTCATCAGCTCGGGATGAAGTCTGTGATACTTGCACTTTTTCTGTGGTGAAATCTGGTTCTTCACTGCTGGTAGGTGACTGGACAAATACTGTCACCTCATCAATTGATGGAGTAGGTGTTTCTTCCTTACTGGTACGGACTAAGTCACTTGAGCTTGCAACCTCATTCTCCTGCAATTAATAAAAGTTAACATAATAGGCAAGTAAGCTAGAAGAGCTTACCATCTCTCCAGGAAACTAAGCACAGATGTTTGAGAAAAAAAAAAATAGCATCAAGAAAAGTTGTTGCAAGCTTTCTGAAGCTTTTCATTACACTTAACATACAAGGAGGTTAACGTGAAAAGAGACTGAGGTACCTGGGAAGTAGTAAATTTTAAAAAGAATACTGTGACTTCATGAAATAAATTAGTTCTTATGTATACAGTAGGAGCAATATTACTAGCCAAAGCAGTTTATGAGAACACTTGAACATTCCATCCCTTTCAAAAGAATTTAAGCTCTAAGCTTCCTGTTTCAGTGTTGGCATCAGGCATAGCCACAGAAGACTCAAATAGTTTTTCCCCACTAGATATTTTAGTTCTCACAAGGGGAAAACTGTAATGTCTCATGCATATATGAAGTAATTGTACAAGTTGAATAACAAGAAATTTAGTGAAGATTTAGTTCTTACTTTCGTTTCTTGAATTTTAGCTTCTGACTTTAAGTCTTCTGGACTGCTATGTTCCGTATCACTGCTTATACCACAGACAGATGTAGAAGGAATCTGCTGAGCTTCTGCTTCAGCTTTCTCCTCAGGAGTTGGTTTCTCTTCTGAAGTAGCAGCACATTTTCTTTCACTGCTGAATTCGCTTTTTCCTGCAATGCCTACTGCAAACAGTAAAAATTAGTGGAAAATATTTCAGTATTTAGCTGCTATTTATTTTAATTTCTGGCACCTATACTGTAAATTAATCTCATGATAGCCAGGGCAACTTGAAGACAGACCTCGAGAGTTTTTCAAAATACAAAAGCATTACTGTTTAAACAGTGGAAGTGAAGACTAACTTAACTTGGGGTGACTAGAATTGGAAACATAAGTAGTTCTCTATTGCTACCAGGGAATTTCCATGCAATGATGAAGAGTTCAATCTTGCAGCTGCCATGAATAACAGTTTCCTTCAGCTTTTCCTCATATTTCAGATGGCTCAATATATATACCCTTGTAGCACATATCCTCAAAGAAATCCCCAAACTTCACTTCTAGAAGTATCTGCTCAGATTTTCAGTTACGCAACACTGAAGTCCGAGGCACAGCCAAAGTTGACATAAATTTAAGCAAGTCTTCTACACCTGTATTTTTAGTATGAAGTCTAATTTTTTTTCAATATTAACTCATAAGCTTAAATTGACTATCTGCAGAAGAAGCAAGTATTCAAAGATGTAGAGAACTTTTGTCTTGAACAGTATCATGCCAAGTTGAATTTTTCATATTCAAAAGAACCTCAAGGTAGGAAAAACTTGCTCTTGTTTAAGAGATCACCTGAAATGAACACTTCTCATTCAGATACCACTTTACTGCTAAGAGTTTCACATACTGAGCTTAAAAGCTGTACTTTGATATGCAGCTTTTCTGCTCCCAGCATCACTGCTTCTAAAAACTATCTCAGGAAACACAAAATTAATCTCTCCTCATGAGTCCTTCAGATTCAGTTTATGTTTCCGTGCATAAAGCACAATACTTAAAATTTCTCAAGACGTACCTTTTACAGGATCTTGTTGTTTCTTTTTCTCTTCTGAATCACTGGGATACAATCTTCCATTAAGTTTCTTAACAGCTGTTTCATAGTCTTCATCTTAAACACAGGAAACAAGCGTAAGTTCTTAGGCACCCTCTAGGTCAGAGAAGTCTGCTAAGCCCTTTCAACTCACAAGCCTAGCAAGCATGCATAATTTATGTTTTAGGAGTTCCACAAAACAACAGGTAAGCTTTCACTTCTAGTTTTGCATGCATGTGCTTGAGTGTGCTGTAACACTTTTTCCTCAGCCTAGGCTGTTACAGATACATGGCACAGGGTTTTGTTTTCAGAAAACACATTTCTTACTGAGTGATTTTATTAAGAGTACCACTGCATAGATTTGGGAAAGAAGACTGAAGATCTTTTACATTAAAAACTTGCAAACTCAGATATTTGTGAAAGCAGGCTTGTCTTCTCCAATTTTCTGTTGAATACAATGCTTCAGAACTTCCATTTAACATATTTATTGCTGAATAAATCAAGAATAATTTAGTTGCATTTGATAAGATTTGACATAAAAGAAGTTCAGTTTTAGTATTTGGAATTTGCTTTAGAAGAAAAGCCATTACTCTAGCATTTAAGGAACCTGAGCTTGTAGTTTTTAATAAAGACTCAAAATACTCACTGAAGTAAGTCTCAAATATCTGATTATTCAGTCTTACCTAACCAACTGCCTTGCTGACACTCATCAACACCCATAATACACCAAGAAAAATTATCTTTAGTCACTCCTGGGCCTCCATTGTACTATTCTGTCTTGAAGACTTGAATGTACATCTTTGGCCATAAGGATGTTGACAGGATTGATTCCCATTGGTCCAAACAAAAGTATTTGAGTGCCTAATGGTTCCAAACAGCATTCACAAAGTATCCCAAGTTGGAAGGGACACATAAGGATCACCAGCTTGCAGCTCTCTGCTCCTTGCAGGACTGCCTAAAACCTAGCCATATGACTAAGCACATTGTCCAGATGCTGCTTGAACTATGATAGGCTTGGTGCTGTAACTGTCCTGGGGAGTCTGTTCCAGTGCCAGACCACCCTACCCTGACAGATTTATTCCACTTCCTCACGTCTCATCACTGGTCACCAGAGAGAGATCAGCACTTCCTCCTCTACTGCTGTCCCTGAGGAAGTTGTGGATTGTGATGAGGTAATCCATCAAGCCTTGTCTTCTCCAAGCTGAACAAACCAAGTGACCTCAGCCTCTTTTCCTGAGTCTGGGTGAAAGGTCTTTCACCATTCTGGTCACCCCTCCAACAGTCTGATGTCCTTCTTACACCGAGGCACGCAAAGCTCGAGGTTGGGCTGCACCAGTGCAGTGTATTAAACCCTTTCCTCACAAAAATGTAATACCAAAGTAAACTTAGGCACTCCTTACCATCATCCTCGTCACTCACGTATCCAGGCTTATTCTTGTAACAGAAGAATGTTGAAGGGAGCTTGAGAAAGTCAGCAAGAGCTCTCTGTTCAGGGGTAGGTGTTAACTCGTAAACTATTATAACCTCATCAGATGAAAGATCATCTTCTGACACTGTTGTCTTCTCAGCTTGTATAGAAATTGAACAAATAATTAAAATGGAATAATTTCAGAGCAAGAAATAACATTAACCCCCCATTAATAGAGAACTGAATTAATTCAAAGTGCCTACATATTTTCTTTTGATCCACAGGAGACAAAATTTAAGTTCCAGGATGCTAGGACAGAACATCCTGTTAAAACTCAAGAAAGCTCAATATGCATGCCCAAATACATCTTGTTCTATTGCCTCTGGAATACAAGTATTGGAACAGAAACACTTCTGCATCTTTATATTGTTACAGGATTATTTCATTAAGTTCTTATGTCAAATAAAATATGGCAATGGAGAAGAGGGACAGAGGCGTTATATAGAGGTAAACATGTAAATTTCAGACCTGAGAAAAGAAAATGTGAAGTTGTGTACCTGTCCTATTGCATTGCTTAAAAGTGCTTTAAGTTCTTGAAGATAAACAGCAACGGAATAGAGCTGATTTCAGGTTACCTATGGGAAATTTATGCTTTTTATTAGCTCATCTCAATTTACCATAATAGCTGTTGCTGAAGCTTTTATTGTTACAAAAGTAATTTTTAGTTTCACCTTGCTGAACAACAGAAAATATTGCTTTCAGGTTAGCTTTTCTAGCAAGGACAAGCATCACTATCAATTTTATTATATAGCTTTTTACCCTCTCTCCTTGTACAATAAAGTGCCCATCCCTCTGGTACTGAGAACAGTGCATGATCAAAGGTTAAAGCTGAAAGTAAAGCCTAGAGCAAACTGCAGATAAACATGGCTATAAGGACAAGCAGACAGCTTTGGAAACAAATATTTGAGTTTATTATGAGAGAACAGAAGCAAAGAGGGAAGATATACCAATTTAAACATTATCTATGGCTTGGTTGAGCTTCTGTTTGTTTAGGTTTTAGTGTTGTTTTGGGATGGCAAGTTTGGGAATAAAGGTGTGAAAACCAAAACTTTTTTATAAGAATTACCCCATGAGCACATCAGTAGCCGCACATCAGTTGTTTCCAAGAACAGTCTGATTGCTTTAGTACCTCAGCCTATTTGTTCACATTATCCAGATTTGAGTTAAACTAGTCAGCAGAATAAAAAAGGGTGGTCTTAAAAGCTCACTGTGCTTTTCACTAAAAAAATATTTGATAAGTCTGTGGCACAGTGTAGTCAGTGGAAAACCAAATCTTAAGCTAGAAATCAGTTCCTGAAAGACACTGATTTTCCTGAGCATACAATTTAGCAATCATCATTGCAGGAGGAGACAAGGACAGAAGAGACGTGTAATGTTTACAGACATATCCCTTAATCCTCTCGTGCAAGTGACACACTAAAATAAGTCTACCTTTTAAAAGCAGTTGTCTCACTACTATCTGCCAGTAGATAAGAGCAATATAAAGAATAGTAAAGTAAAAACAAAATCCCAAGTACTGATTCAAACTTATGTCTTTCTTTGAAGTATTCCTTCCGCCCCCAGTCTTTGCCCCAACTGACTCTCCCTTTGATTACAAATTAATCATTTCAGGCACTTAAATACACCAGACTGTAGCTCACACCCATTACCAGGACATACAGCCTTGTAAAGTAATATTTTTTACTATTTTGTTTGTTTTTGTTTTGGATTTTTTTTTTTTTTTAGATCTACAGGATCTGAGCCTGTAGAAAGCAGACATATGATAAAACTCTTGAACAGCAAATTTTTATGTTCATATCACAACAGTAGGCTATAGATATTTTCATACATTTTCTCAGAATGTTATACAAAAACTTCACCCTATCTGATTTAAGAATCAGAAGTACACCTAGTACCATGTTATAAAGATATGCAGATATCCTGCATATTATGTGTTTTATTCTCTCACATTAGTTAAGCAAGTGTCAGCTTCAGAGGTTTAAGTGTAGAACATTTAGTCCTACAGCAAAAAACCAGCTTTCCTTAGGATTAGAGAATTGTCAAATATTTATTTTTGACAACAAAAAACTTCTTCCAAGTCAGTCAGGTAGACAGTAAAAGTGTGTGTTTCCTTTAATTTGAGCAGTAGAAAGCTAACTAGAAGAACCTAGAAACAGATGATTCTGTTCCAGTGTTTTACCACCCTCATTGCTCATCCCATTTGACAAACAGCATTCTCAGAGTTATCATGCAGTCTCTTTCAGTAGCCTTTGTGCAAATAGCTGAATAAGAGAAATACATTAACAAGTCACTTCAGATTAATTATTAAGTAAAGTTCTCCATAAAATTGATCTATGAAACACTGGACTAAGACTCTAGTGCTCCAAACATCCACTCAAAGCGACAAAAGAGTTCAACAAAGATTACTGCTGCAAACAGCTTAAATACATCTTCACAGGCAGCCATGAAAACAAAGAGCCATGCATACGTACAACATATTCTGAAAAGACTGTTGGTTTTAGGATAATTGAACTTTCTATTTTGGGGGGAAAAAAATTCACACAAAACATCATTAGCATATGAAAGAAACAAAATTAAGGGCAATATCATGCACAAAAGTTTTCAATTGTGTATTGTATTTTTCCTTTTATTTTAACTGACATTAAGACCAGGTAGGCCTAAATATCTCTAGCTAGTCACAATAGTGATATGTTTTTTCATGCATTTATCAGTGAATATCTTCTGGATATAAGGAAAAAAGCACCAGAGTTTAAACCCTAATGCATGTAGCAGCTACAGTAACATGCAACTAACATGACTCAAACTGGTAAAGCACTGTTGTGGTTTAACCCCAGCTGGCAACTAAGCACCACACCCCCCACTGTGGTAGAATGGGGAGGAGAATCAAAAGTAGAACTTGTAGGTTAAGAACACTAATAACTGAAATAGAAGTAAAATATAATAACAGTGAAGAATAATAATCAAAGAAAAAGTAGAACCCAAGGAAAAACAAGTGATGCACAATACCTCTGCTCACCACCTGCTGACTCATGCCAGAGCCCATCCCTCCACCCCGATACCGCAAGTAACTCCCTGGTTTATGTACTGGGCATGATATTCTGTGGTGTGGAATATCCCTTTGGGCAGTTTGAGTCACCTGTGTCAGCAATGCTCCCTCCCAGCTTTTTTTGTGCACCTTCTCACTAGCACAGCATGACACAAAAAAAGGTCCTTGACTTCGGGTAAGCACTACATAGCAGCAGCCAAAGCAGTGTTATCAGCATTACTCTCATACTGAATCCAAAACACAGCACTCTACCAGCTCCTGAGAAGAAATTAACTCTATCCTAGCTGAAACCAGGACAAGCACTTATAAAAAGCTCATGATCTGACCTGAGAAAAACATACATACTTCTGCATGAAGGTGAGAACTACTCTGAGGTTAAATTTGAGTTGTTGCTCTAGCACAACTCAGAAGCCTCTTCCCAACAGACTTGTACCATGAGAAAGCCTCATACTGTATTTGTATTGAGTAAACCTAATTTAGGAAGGACTGTTCAAAATCCTTTACTGTTAAGTCAGAGCTCAAAACAAAGCCACCAAGAACCTACACTGAAGACAAGTAACTGTAAATATCACTGAATATATAATCATAACCTAATTATCAAAGGAATACAAGTAATGAACAGCCTGAAGCACCAGAGAGACACACTTTTTTTGTTTCTTTAAACACATTCCCCCCAACCATAAAACCCCCCAGTATAAAACCAAGATCAATTTGAGGTAAGAATAGTTCTTGCATGTATGCATTGGCATAGAATGCTTAATCACTTCACATTATACACATCAAATGATGAAAATATAATTGAATTGTTAATAAACGATGCACAGACAACACAGGGACGCCTAAGAACACAGAACAGGTGATTTTTTAGATAGCGCATACAGAACAGAAGTTCAGTGTTTAAATAAGAACAGCTTCTCCAAAAATACAACTTTGGGAAAATGGTGTTTGGAATGACATTTTGAAACTTTTAAACAATGCAAGACACTAACATTAGAAGACTGTCTTACGCAGACTAAAAATTTGACATTTAAAATTAAAATACCATTGAACTGCATGAGCTGAGTATGCTTACAGCAAGCATACTTGCAAGAAGCACCATTAGCAACATCTTACAATGGCTTATCATCAAACTGTAAGCTGTTACGGTTTTGTTTACAACTCCTGAATGTAAACAAATCAGTTACTCAGCAAGAGTTTTCTAACCAGCTAAGGAGTACTTCAAATTATATACTTAATAAACACATAAGCAGTAGCTAAGGAGTTCACTTTCTCATTTCTGCACACTCCTTTAAGACACTTAACACTGTTCGCGTTAACTGCAGCAGTTAACACTGATAATCAGGAAACTGAATTGAACGTTTCCATAGAGGCTAAATACTGTCAAGTGTTTTACAGGAAAATCTGTCTCAAGATCTTCAGGAATGTACATGGAAGTACATTCTTCACTGACATGGAGTACAAGACGTCAGGCACTATGAGACATTCTCTGAAAATAACACCATTTCATTTCTCTAGAAAAGAGCAATTTAACAGTCAGTGTGTATACTCAGCAAAAGTGTGATGGAGAAGTGCAAGGCAGCTACCCTCAGAAAATAAGGCAAACAGAAGCCAAAAGCTTAAACAGGGCCATCCATTGTGCCGGCTCATGTCAACATACTAAGGGCTAAAGACATTCTTTTAAAGGACATACAGTAGCCAGATACACAATTTTAAGAACTCTCCTTCAGCATGCATGTTAATCATAAGGATTACTGAGCCAACTGCTTTGACACAGCTGGGTTACTGTCCATGCCTGCTAGAGTGTTTTTATCACACATTCAGTGCAGTATGTAAATACCTTTACTATCAGGTTGCAAGGAGGATGTGCTTGTCCAAAAGGCCATTGGATTAGATTTAAAAAGGCTAAAATTAAATCCTAAAAAAATAAATTGTTTGTATATAAGTGTTTACCTGGAATTTTCAAAGGATAAAACAGACTTATCTATGTTCTGTAAGTATTCCACAGTCATACTTCACAGTGGGAAATTGCATCTCTTAATTCTACACAAGCTTATCCAACCCATGTGAACAGACTTGCAGTTTACCACCTTCCACCATGTCACTTTATTACACTGCAGCTAATAAACAGACAGTATGTGTTCATAATGCTGAGGTGTCCCATCATTCTCACAAAGACGCTTCAGCACATGATAATGGTCACGTCACAGCCACAACTTCTGTAAGCACGTCTTTTTCAGACTGTGACAAACTGTAACTGAGGATGCAATCACATGATCTCTTCTCAGGCTAAGGAAGCAGGCTAACATCTGGTTTTAAGCTATACAACTGAAATTGCAGAGGCCAATATTTAAGACTTGAAACAAACATTTTAAAATAGCCATCTGCTCAATCATAGGGATAATTAAAATTTTAACTGAAGCATATATTAGCTGTTCTCACACTTTATGACTCAGAGCAAAGGCTCAGGTACCTACAAATCAACCATCTATTCAAGTTTCTAAAAGTAAGTCCACAGATACTTTCAGCATTTAAGTCCAAGATTCAGATACAGCACTTCAGAGTTACAGCTCCCTACCTGAAATCATTGTTTCTCAGTAAACAAAACTCCATCCTGCATCACACACTTCCACTTTTATATGAAAATACTTATGACTTAAAATTCCCTCATTTAGTTGAAACTCTGGAGAACATATGGATACCTGCATTAGAACTGAAAAAAACTATATATTCTCAAGAGAATAAACAGTAATGAATAGCACAGGGCTGACTGCTTAGTAAATTGCGTAGTTGAATAAATTACTACTTCAGTTGACACTCACCTTTTTCCAGAATTCTAAATGAGAAGTTAGAGGCACCATCTTGTGTTGTAGTAGGAAAGCTGTCTACCTTGCTGTCTACAGGCTTCTGAGTAGCATTAGAACTTTTCAGTGGTTCAGAGACTTCTGTTTCTTTCTGTGCTGTGTTCTGAGATGCTGGAATATGGTTTTCACTTTTTTTTGGAGGATTAAAACTGAAGCCGAAGAGAGAACCAGTGGCTGAAGTATTTCCAAACGTGAATGTCTTTGACTTTTCATTACTGAAAATACTCTTGACTGATTCAGATCCAAATACAAACTTTGGAGGAGAAACCACTGTTTTTGTTGGTGTTTCAGAAGTGTTTGATATCTCTGCAGCCTCTACAGTTACATCAGAAGTATCATCACCATGGCTGAGGTCAGTTCTTTCTCTGGTCGTTTCTTCTAGCACAGCTACAGCATTTTTACCACACGGAGATTCCTTTGGTGTATTGGCACGAGAAGAAAGAGGTGTTATCAGTGTCCCTCTCTCTTGGGCATGCTTTGCTTCATCAAAAGTTTGCTTAAATGAGTCTGCAACATCTTGCAGCTTGAATCGCACAGCCAGAAGTTCTACTTTCCTTTCACCGTCTGCAAAGTCACATGCAGTCCACACCCATGCTCTATCAGATCCTTTCATCTGCTGCAAATTCATCTCTGGTGTTATTCTGTGATTGGCACAAAGTTTTAGTACCTGGTCCCTTCTCATTACTATACGCACTTGTTTGTTGTCATAGTTCTGCAATATCTTGATATCCCCAATACCTCTCTCTTTCCACTGATTTGCATCTTTGTCATATCTGTAGAGCTTAGCTCTGTGACTGAAGACAACTTGCTCATTTTCCTCACCACTGGTCACTTCCACGAGATCAGGCAGAGGTACCACAGGTTCAAAGTACTGTCCATCTCTCTCTTCTTCTTGAGTAACATCAGAATCTTCATCTGTGCCTACTGATGTTCTACTTTGATTCTGTTTGGCAGGAGATTTGCACGGGCTTAAGGCAGATTTAAAGCTAAAACTAAAACCAGTGGTAGACTCTCCAAATCTAAACAGATTTTTCCTTACAGGGCTACTTTCAAGAGGTGTTGCATATACAGAACTACTTACACTATCATCCAATGCTTCTTCACGCAAGTCATAGTTATCCCATTCCAGAGTAGGGCCAGTACTTTCAGCATGTGGCTTTATAACCAGATCAGAAGTACTGTTGGCACTAACAGAGCTGACATTTTCCTCTTCTGACAGTTTAGTTTTGTCATCTGTCAAAAAGGTTTTGAGATCTTTTAAGCCACACTTCATTTCTTCTGCTTTCTGTATAAGCTGAGCTGTCCTACCTGTATCAACTAGTTTATGGGGTGTCTGCAGTGGTATGTCTAGCAGTAGCCTCTGACATTCTTCAAATTTCTCTTTGAACTCCTCAGCCTGCTCTGGTGTCTTGAATTTTGCTGCCAGATGTTCCAACTTTGCATCACCATCAGAGAAGTCATTGGCCATCCACATCCATGCTTTGTCTGAGCCAGAGAGTTGTTTCAAGTTCATTGTTGTTGTTATCCAGTGATTTGCACACACCTTTAGTACCTGTTCACGACGCATCAATATTCTTACTTTGCCATTAACTTCATTTTTAAGAATCTTCAGGTTGCCCACTCCACGTTCTTTCCACTGGCTTGTTTCTGGATCAAACCTGAACAACTTTACTCTTTGGGAGTATAACACTTTCTCATCTTCCTCTCCAGTAAATGGTTCTATTTTTTCAGGCATCTGAACTATAGGTTCAAAATGGATATCATCACTGTCCTCTGTCTTATACACATCATCATCCTTCTCACTGTCAGCAGATGTGTTTGCTTTGTGATCCATTTTAGAATTCTGTGTAGAAAACAGCTTTTCACCCGCACCTGAAAAGCCTTTGAAGTTAGGGTCCTTTTTGCCAAATTGAAAGCCTTCCTTAGGAGTACTTTTTGCAAGCTCAGCAAAAGTAGAAGTGCTGCTATTTTGCCCAAAAACAAAGTCACCTTTCTCCTTGTCTGCAGTTTCTTGAAATTGGAATCCAATTCCACTATCTGAAGGCAGTTCCTTTTTGTCTTTTTCATCAGTGCTTTTTAAGAAGCCAGTTGTACACTCTTTGGATGGTTCATCTTTCTTTGTGGTATTCTTACTGGACTCCTGTATCCCAAACTTAAATCCACCTGCAGGCACTTGCATTGAAAAGTTAAATCCTTCCTTTGCAGGCTTAGATTCAGTATCAGAAGAAATCTGAAATGTAAATGATGGCGTCTTGCCTTGCTCAAGACCAAACTTAAAGCCTGTTCCTAACTGTCCTCCATCAAGTTCAGGTAATTTACTTTTCAAGCCAAAAGTAGGAGCTGACGAAGCATCACCAGAAGGCTTACCAGATGGATTTGGTGTTTGGCAGGCTTTACAGGCTGGTGAAGAACCTTCATTCCTCACAAAGCAAGTACTACAATCCCACTGCCCTTCCTTTTTAGTAAAAAGCCCTTCAAACCCATTTTTCTGTGGCTTACTTGTATCAGCAATGGAACCAAACCCAGGAGCAGGGGATGCCTGAACAGTAGGTTGATTTTGAGGGTTAGGACTCTGACAAGAACAGCAGTTCACATCTTTTGCTTCATTTCGAACTAGGCATACAGAGCAGTCCCACTGACCTTCTTTTTTAGAAAAAGCAGTACTCAAGTCATTTTGAATAGCCTTTGGAGCAATTGCTTGGCCAAATTTAGCAGAATTTTGTTGACCAGATATTCCTGTATTACTTTTGTTTGGATTCTGGCAGGCAACACACTTGGAGGCAGTGGGTTCATTTCTTACTGAACAGACACTGCAGTCCCATTGACCTTCCTTTTTAGCAAAAGCAGATCCAAAGTTGTCCTGCACTGTGTTATCACTAGCTTTGAAACTTACAGAGCCAGTTACTGGGGTGTCCTGTGTTTCCCGCACATCTGGATTTGGATTTTGACAGGATACACAATTCTTTGCAGTTGCTTCATTTGGAACTAAACATACTTTACACTCCCATTGATCCTTCTTCATGAGATGCTGCCCAAACCCACCAGAATAGGCTTGCTGAGCATCTTTTCCAAATGAAATAGCAGGGCCAGATGCAGTTGATGTAGCTGTAAGGCTGCTTTTGCTGTCAGATTCACTGCTCACGCCATCTTTAGGGAACTGAAAGTTGAGGTTCAGGGTTCCAGAAATGGATCTGCTAGGCTCCTTGATGTTCTGATTTGTTGTTTCTTTTGCAGTTCCACTATTCTGAGTCACAGATGCGTCAGCATTTGATCCTAAGGATCTTAAAATATTCTGTGCTTCCTCAAACCTTTTTTTGAAAAGCATTGCTTCCTCAGGCGTTTTAAATCTAATTGCAAGCTGTTCTGGTTTTGGCAACTCATCTGCGTAATCTAAAGCATGCCATACAAATGACTTATCTGATGTAGCATTTGGAGTTAATTTCATATCAGTATTTATGTAGTGATTTGCACAGATTTTCAGCACTTGGTCCCGCCTCATTAAGAGACGAAATTTGCCAGATACTTTATGTTTCAGTATTTTCACATTTCCGATTCCCCTTTCTTTCCATTCTTTAGTTTCTGCATCAAAACGAAAGAGCTTGGCTCTGTTGCAGAAGAATTCTTCTTCATCTTCCTCACCTGTCTTTACTTCAATCTTATCAGGGAGTGGCACTACAGGATCAAAATGAGGACCATCATCATCCTCATCTCCACCATGGGTGCTTCCTCCCTCTGTTTCATGACTTCTATTGGCCAAATCTGAATTTGAAGTCATAAATACAGGCTTGTTTGGTTCTTGAACACTAAATGTATCGTTCTTGTCAAAACACAGGTTTTTATGTGCATTTTGTCCCATGTTCTCTCTAAGAGAGATGCCTGGAATATGTTTATTGCTAAAATTAAAGATATTTCTTGAACTATTTGTGTGATCATTAACTGGCTTTTGTTCGATGTATCTATCATCCTGTAAAGGTTTATCAGATGTTAGAAGATCCAAGAGGCTTTCTCTGCTATTAATAGGTGCATTAAGAGGCTGTGGTGCTACTTGAGGGGGAGCAGAAAAGGTGAAGTCTCCATCATTAGACTTGAAATTAGGTTTAAATTTAAAAGTTGGTGTCTGACTTGGCTGTGCTGGTGTTGGCAGAGGTGTTTTTGATCCTTCAGCTGTTCCTGGCTGTCCAAATTTAGGCATCACTTTTGGTTCTGCGGGCTTTAAAGTTGGTGGTGTGACTGAACGGTTTGTGAAGTAGCCTGGTTTAGGCAGTGTTGGATTTGTGCTTGCCTGTGGAACGCTGTAATTGTAATAGTCATCACCCGCACGAGGAGAGATGAGCGCAGTACCAGGAGAATCAAAACGCAGAGGTGGGCCGTACATTTCTTGGGAAAACATACAACCAGAAGTGTTTTGCAGAGGTGGTGTATGCATTGGTGGTTGATAGGAATATATATGTGGCTGAGGTGTAAGTCGGTTCATGCCATAGACAGGGGGCTAAAGAAAAAGCAGAAAACAAGTGCTTTGCTTACTGTGATAACACAGAGGACAAAAACTTACTTGTGCTGAAGCCCACATAACATGTAATCTTCAAAGGAAGGCATACTTTCATACAAGTTTAAACCTTCACTAATTTTACCTTAATTTAAACTGATTAAATCTTGAAGGGCATTTGAAAATAAGCATTGAAAAAGGGGCACAATATGAGTGGGTTGCTTTTTTATGATTAAAAAAAAGCCTTGAAAACCCCATTTTCTTTTGCCATGCTGCTTGGAGCGGAGGATAGTTAAGTGCTATCATACATACTCTGTAGGAGAAATGTACTAACATATAGCAGATATTTTGCTGGTTTTTCCTCCTAAACTCCATATCCCAAAAATTAGGCAGAAAGACAAAGTATCAGTTTAGCCCTAGCAGTCCAAGTTCACCAAATTCTGCATAAGGAACTGCAATTACATCCAACTATGTACAGAATCAAAAGCAGTCACTTTTTCAGGAGATCACTGGAAGCAGCTTAAGTGAGTTGATTTGTTCTCACCTTTGCTGGTGTTACATTGGTTGCAGCAGTTCCAAGAAGATACTGAGAGTTATAGGCAGGAGACTGGCTGTAGAACACAGATGGACCAGTGGTAGCAACTAAAAAGGAACACGAGGAAAACAAAGTTTACACTTGATCATCTTTTGTTGTTGTTTTGAATGAACTCTCCATTGCAATCAGTTTTTAATTGTGAATCATTAAACATTTTGGCACTAGCTGAGCATTTAGGTACAAATTCTGCAACAACTTGCCTGTTAATGGTGCTTCATGAAGATTTTGTGCTCTCTGATAACCGTCTGGCATTGTATCTGTTCCATAGTTTTCAGCTGGCCAGCGAGAAGACGCATTTGTGTTGGAATTATTAAGTTTCATTTCTTGCATTTCATTCTGTCAAGACAGCATTCCAAGCAAGAGTGTAAGTATGTATCACACAGGTATTTATAGAAGAAAACGTGATCCCTACCCTTTGGCTATTTAAAGACATTTTCAAGCTCAGTGGTGGTGGTAATTTAAGAAATCCCCAATAAGTACCTGCCAGAATCATGCAGGATCTGCCCATGCAGTACAAAGTACTAACATAGTGTTCCAAAGCCAGAACAAGCCAGTAAAAAAGCACAAACCAAAACAGAGCCCCAAGTGGATGAGAACCGAACTGATAAAAGCAGAACTCTGCATACAGTCCCTAGAAGGGCTGCCTCAGCATACATGCTTAACTCCTAAAGAAGTTACTCATTTTAGGTCGATATTGTATGCATTTTACGTAGATATTTACAGAAAATAATTCTAGAAACAGTAAATTAGCCCATGCTATTTTCACTGGATCCTTAACATAACTAAAAGGCCAACTGTTTTTCACTGAATATGGTGACAAAATTTTTACCTTCAAAGCCTCCACTTGCTGACAAATCATTTGAAGTATAGATTTGTGATCTTCTGCCCACTGAGGAGGAGTTTTAGGAGAAAACTAGGAAAAAAAAATTATTTGAATCTTATGAATTGTTCTTCAAACATAGTAATTCCCTGAAATAATAACTGGCCAACATACCTTGTAGCTCTTAGTTGGCGAAAAAGAGAACTTAGTTGGTGATGGAGTGGAATGTTTCACTGCTGAATCTACAGTTCGTGACAGACCATTTCTGAAGGCAAGACTTCCCTCTTCACCATTCTCACCAAGTTCCTGGATCACTGTATCTAGCACTTCTCTCACAGTTTCAATAGACACTGGCAACTAGAAAGTTTTTTGCAATATGAGTCATGACTGCAATTCTCCCTCACAGCAAGAGAGATTACATTCAGAATTCTGACTGAACAACTCACAAGGCTTTCATTACAAAAATACTGCTTTCTTTTTCAGAAAAGCTCTAAATCTGTTAAGATTCACATAAGAAAACAATTCCCACAAGTAATTATATTTTTTTCAAACTATCAACTTTTATAAAAAGGCAGTGGCAAAACTATTTGTTTATGTTAAAGCTTTCATGCATAGAGGAACCAGGATAATACATAATCTGATAGGTTACAGAAGTTACCAAGAGTTTAACCTGCTTTAATGCAAGGACTGGTCCAAAAATCTAACCTAAATGAAAACAGCTTCATTTTGAAACAGTAATCTAAGCCACTGCATGTCTTGAAACAAGTTCTTAAAGCAAGAATTACTTACTTTCTCAGTTACTGACATATCTGAGGAGCTTTCCGCAATGATCTTCATTAGATAATACCTGGCTTTAAGAAGATAGGTTTTGTGCTCCTCGTGTTCTTCTGGTAGCATGGCATCATTTTCAATCTCTTCTGCCTTTCTTTGGAAAATCTAAAGAACAAGACACAGATTAATTAGTATCAGTCAGAAGGCAACTGAATAAAGGAAAGCATTTCAGGGTAATGTAACTTACAAACTTACCATGGCAAGATTCCAGTACGAAACCACATTCTCAATAGCTTCAAACGCTAACAAAGCATCATCAGTTTTGCCATCAACTGCATCCAACATAGCAAATGCTATATGTGCCTCTTCTTCATATGCTGCAACCTGAAAGACCTACAAATAAAGTGAAGGACAACTCATACCTAACAATGGAATGACATTTTTTCCTATAATACAGGGAGAATTCTTTTTCAAGAAAGTTTGTACTAAGGGTGTTCAGTGCCTTCCAATCATAAACACGATTTTAAAGTTAAGATTAAAGTTGTAAGGAATTTTCCCCCTTTATCAAATGCTGATATTACCAAATCTCATCATTAATAGTTTCCTAGTAATAACATGAGTTGCACAATGTAGACAAAAATCCCTCAACTAGGTACGTTTCTGACATAGACCCTCTCTTACTTCAGCCTTGGCTTAATCAATCTGTACCTGAATGTCTACACTATGGAAGTGTTTGAAGAGAGGATCAGTAGGTTCAGAAATACTCCTCTTTTTTTTGATAATTTCCAGCATAGGCAAAACTTTCTTCCAGTAATAGACACTTCGTCCAATGTATTCCTTCTGGTCATAGAAAGAGTTGAGGTTAATTCCCTGGTGAAGAAAACGGAACAGAAGCACGTGTTATTTCCACAAGTTCAGGTCAAAATGCTATTCATACAAATCCTTGTCCTATTTTCTTTAAAAGTTTCAAGAGTCCTTCTTTCACACTAAACAAAGTAGCTATGTAAAGTAATATACACGTAGAAAATAACATTACAATTCAGGACCAATACTTTATAGAGTGACTAGAGCAACAAATTTGCCTAATAAAATAAACAGCTGTTCTCAGTAATACATACTGATCTGATCCCTTGCCCCCCAAGTCTGTTCATAGTTTGGAAAACAGAGAAAAACACTTCTACATATTTAAAAACAATCTCAGCTTACTGTTTTTTGCAAGCTTTTTGCCCAGTGTATGATTAAGGCAGGTTGCAGGCCATGCTTCTCCAGTGTTCGCAGAGTACTTATGCCATGCTGTACAGTAAGCCTCAGTTTTGCTGCTGTTCCTGGTCTGAATATGAGAAGAAACATTTCTTCATTAGGATTTTATGTTTCTCACCTGTTCACATAGCATTTACTTGATGAATACAGCCCATGGTTTTAGTTCTAACCTGCCTTGTTTAGAAATGCATTGTTAGAAATTAAAAATTTCACTTTTACAAGTCTTTCAAATGCATCAAATCCCTACTAGAACAAAGCTTCAACATCCAAAATATGTCCAAAAAACCTAATGTTTCAAGAAGCTATTGGGACCAATTAAAGCCGCTCTAACTCCCTTTAGGGATCTTGATCAAACATCCCTAAACTCAAAAAGCCTTACATTGATTTTCTCTGAAGAAGGGTACGAACAGCATCCCACCAGGATCTTTGGTCTTCGGTATAGAGTTGTTTGCACACTGGCAATGGTAAGAATTGAGGCTGATGTGCACTGTAGTGAGAATTAAACTTCTCTTGCAATTGCAGGTTGCTAGTGAATACCACCCCAAGTAGGAACACCTGTTTTTATAAATATAAAGTATTAAAAAACCAAACAGAACTTAATTTGTATGGTACATGAAGAAACTTGGAAAGTTTACTTACTTCAAGGTCTAACAAGCAAATGGATTCAGGAGCATCTGTCTCAAGTCTTGATGTTTCCTGGGGCAAGTGGAAAAGTTGTTTCAACCACTTACGCATCGGGGGTAAAACTGACATAGAGTTCCACTGCAAGCCAAGCCACACAAGGTGCTGGAGACTGCCATTGTGCATTCGAACAGCACCTGTGCAAAAACAAGGTTGGATGCAGATGTCAGTTTCCTACAAGTTATCAAGACTTGTATCTGATCAAAGTTGGGTTTCACATTTCCCTCTGTCAGAGCAGCCAAAGATCAATGCAAGATTCCAGCTTTCACTTATGAAGGATTACAAACTTCAGAGTAGCCAAACATATCATGTTCATCTAAGTGCTCAAAGACATCAACCCCCTAAACTTCTGAGGGGGTGACTCTCAGATTTCCTCCATATCCATCCTCACCTTACTCAGTCCAACAGGCAACTAATTTTAGCCAACCTGTTTCCTTCTCCAGAAATCTCAAAGGCATTATTCAAGAAGCACTTCTCTACTTTGCAGTAAGGTACAAGTTTTTCCTAGGACATTAGGGCAACTGGACAGCTATTCCAGGTATTTGTCTTTTGTTGCAATATGAAGTATTTGTAGAAGAACTTCCAGTACACAAAGCTGTGTTGAGTTTCAGAAAGTAACACCTCTTACCAATATCATATTTATTGAGTTCCATTTGCACTGGTGCTTGTGTACTGACATTTCCAATATCATCTGTGCCAATAAAAGATCTCTCCCTTGAAGCTCCACTCTCAAACAGGCTATCAAACAATGTAAATGAACCACTCTTGTTTGCAAATGATTCCACAATCTCTTTAAAGAAGTCTTGCTTGCCGTGGCTTAAGTTCAGCAGCATATGACCTAGAAAACAGAAATACACTTCACATTAACAAAGCAGTGAACATGAGGAATGTAGCATTTGCTATGCTGGACTGTTCTTTGCTACTGAAGCCTCGGCAGGAATCAGGATTTCCCCTTATGAAACCTACAGACTGCTAAGATACGTTCTCCCTGTAATTAGGTCAGTGTTTCAGCACATAAGCTTTCCAAGCTCTTAGTGACAACAATGCCAAGGCATTTGCAAATCCAGCTCTTTGGGAAAACAAAGCCATCTTACCATTACTATTCTAGGGGCATTGCAACTGACCTTAAAATAAGTACCTATAATAGAAGTAGAAGCCTGCATTAATGAAATCCATTCTGAAATAACTGAACCTGATGTCTAGTGCATTCATTTGTTTTCATTTAGGTCCTGTAAGAATTCTGTAGACTGAAAAACTGTCTGTACTTAGCAGCAAAAAAAAAAAAAAAAATGCTGAAGAACAAGTAAGAATGAAAAGATCAGGGATACAAAGAGTAATATTTTCTTTTCCTCTTGGGGTTAAAAATACTTGTAAAATAGTATCAGTAGGCAAAAGCAATTTCAAGAAGATTAAGAGACCATAAAAGTTAAATTCTACTGTAGTGTGCTGGAGAGTCAAGAAGGTGGAAAAAACCCTCACCACCCTTGAAAAAAAAAAGAAAAAAAAAAGAACACACTCTACCAGCATGCTTAAGAGGAGAAAAAAACCCCACTTTTGGTGTCAGGACCAAACTAGTATTTTGTTTTACATATGTAGTCAGAATCTAGAAAGTTTTACTGCATATTGGAGTGGTAACGTTAGAAGATTACAAATGCATTCTTTAACAAATCACTTAGCTTTTACAGTAACTCTAACACTAAAATGGAACTATGCAGCTATTTTTATTACCAGACTGGCTTTTTCGATCACAGGCCAACATTTCCAGCACATCTTGTCCAGTTTGATCCCCTTTTATTACTTTTGACTTTGGTTTAGGAACCTGGTAAAGTAATGAGAAAATTGTTAAAGCTTTTTCACAGTAGGAGCAGAACATTTAAATACATCTTAGAAATTCGGAAACTAGTGTCTTTTTAGCATTTTCAAACTACAGGAAAAACAGACATCATTCATTCTGAAGGTACTGCATCATCTGTCCAGGGATGGGGTTTGTGTGGGATGGGGTGGGTGAAGAGAGTAGAGAATCCACCTGAAGCCCATAAGTGTGCAATTACAGCTATTAAAAGTAATCTTAAGTGTACACAAGGGCATGTAATATCTGGGATGCAAGCAATGGCATAAAAAGGATGATCGAGGCAAAGAATTCATAGGGCAAAGGAGTTTGATATTTTTATTTCTGCTGCCTACACAAAAGGTATATGGGAATTACTGAATTCCTCTCCTTGCCTCCCTATAGCAGTAACACTCAACATGTGTATTCAGCTGTACTACAGAAAAGGGAACATACTGCAGGAAATAAATGCACTGACCTTTAAGAATCAGGTTACTCTGAAAAGGGAAACACCTGAAGGTATTCTTTTACCCTATTCATGTCATTTGAAACCTTTTAAACAAATGTGAAAGAGTGAGGACGGAGTCCTCCTTTAGGTAGACAAGCACTAGTTCATCTCGGGAATACAGGAGTTCAACATGTGCACAGCAAGAACATTTCGAGAACTGCATCAACTAAAGGCATAAACTGGAAAATCACTTACCTGGAAACTTATGAGATAACACAATGCTGCCAGTTCACACACAGCTCTCCACTGTGCCTCATTGTGTTGGGCCATTTTCAGCAGCAAAGTTCCAGCATGCATGTACAGCTGTCCTTTCATTTCCACATAGGTGCGAGACAACTCATCAGCCCCATTCACATATGGTTTCACTGACTGAAGTGCTCGGTCAAAACTAAAATGTAGAGAAGACTCATTCAAAACAGAGTCCTAGTAAAAGCTATAGAAGGTGATTTTGGTTCATGCTATTTAACTGTGAATTGAGTAACTTTGTGAGTCAATGGTCAGTAATGTCTCTATTGTTTAAACCCAAGTCACTAGCAAGTAAACAGAGTAAACATTATCTAGATATTTATAATCTTTTTCAGCACATTTTTGCACAGCTACTTTCAAAACTATTCTCCTGAACCATGTAGATACACTTGTTCACTAAGGCAGATGTAGAGACTTGCAGGAGGCACTATTCACTCTGCTCTTTCTCTTCCTTAATTTATAAAAAAAGTCCAAAAATACTCTGGACGGGCTCTTCAAAAACATAAGGGACTGAAGAAATTCTAACAGTCATAGACAAGTATACAACCCCACTCAGAAGACGCTTTCCAGAAAACAATTATAAACTCTTACAATTCCTGGACAAAACCATATTGGCTGTTAGCATTGCCATGACCTGGAAGTGCTTCACATGTAAACACTTTGAAAGGCTCTAATAAAGCATCATCAGAAGACCCAAGAAGGTCAATGTTAAAGGAGAAAAATTAAATGAAACATACTTTGGTATTAAATATTCCTCATCTGTTGTCTGTATTGTGTCAAATACTCATGCAAGATTTACAGACTGAAGAACATTTTTACAGAAGACAGTATAAATAGCCATTACACAACTGAGGAATAAATATAAATCAGTAAAATCCAGTAAGAAAGGGAAGATAATGGCAAGAAAAAACACAGACCTTAATATATCGACTACACTGTTTTGTACTATTCCAGATGCATCACAGATAGTAAACCCTGAAGTCAGATGTAACACCACCAGTTTTATCTGAAAGAGGCTGTTCTTACTGCAGATGGTTTCCTCCCTTCACAAAGTTCCTAATTATTCCAGTGTGTTGTGTTAATTTAGAATAAAATAACCAGGACAAAGTTGATACACAAGAGGTGGTTTTGGTTTTCCAGTTTGAAGTTTATATTGTGGATTTGTTTGGATTGTTGTGAGTTTTTTAGGTGGGTGGGGTTTTTCCCAATTGTCTAGATAATCTGGATTAGTCAATTGCTAAAGCATAGCACAATATTTTCTTATTGAAGGGAAAGAAGGTACAAAGTTAACTGACCCAGGATATCAGTGAGTCTTCTCCATGGCTGTGTGCTGACCACTGAAACAAGGCTTGCATCTCAGTCAAAAGACAGCTTGGGGTTCACACCTGATATATGAACCATTCTTAGTGGCCACTACAGAGAATCACCTCTCCCATCCACTAACAAGTTAAGCTGTGAAATAGAAGCTTGGCAGATGTTCTGTGACCCAGAAACAAAAAAAACCCTAAACAATTCCAAGAGTTGTTTTTTTTTTTAATTACAGGAAAGTTTAAGCAGTACCTTTCAAGTGCCTCTCTGCATTCCTGAACATCTCTAGAAGAAAGTGTCAGTTTGACAAAGCTGGAAAAGGCCAGCAGATGATCTTTCTTGATAGTTCTCCAGTTATTTTTATCAGACTCCAAGTCTTGTAAAGATTCCAGATATTCCTAAAGAAGAAAGTTCATCACAGGATAAGGAACAGTCATCCTTCCATGAAGGCAAGGGCAGTACTTCTCCAAAACACACTAGTAGCATTTACTGCATAATCCAGTTTCACAGGTGAAATCTTAACATATTCTTCAGCAGCAAAGTTCCAGGGAACTATTTGCTTGAGCAATTTTATCCCTAATGGAACTGCTGTATCTAACTCGGCTTTTGTAGTTAGAAACTCAACAGCTCTATAAAGCTTAATTTTAGGGAGGAAATTCCAATTAAAAAAAAAAACACCACAGGAAGTATTTTGTAATTCCACTGGTTTCAGTAGACTTGCATTTGAAGGAGTTAAATCCCTTGAGAAATAGCTGTCAGAGTAATGACACTAAGAGAAACAGACCAGATAAAAAGATATGGAAGACTATCACAGGATCAAAATATGATTAAACACCTCAAATGTCTCTACAACACAGGAACACCATTCCAAGCTTGACTGCAAAGGTATTTTCTTCTCTGCCTCCTGACAGTGGAGCACAGCATCTTTTAATCTATTATTTGAACGGTAGAGTGCAACTAGTCGGATGTTTATGTAGACATCATCTGGTCTTGCATAAAGTTCTGCTTGAATCAAGTCAAAAAGCTGATTCCACCCATCTTCACCTTTACAATCCAGTAACTGCTCCTGTTAAAACATGAAGGCAACATGTTAATATTTAATTTATCATGTGAAACTCTTCAGCAACTACAGTAACAGTTTTCTTCACTACAGAGACCACATTACTTAAACTACACTACTCATAATAGTTTTCAGTTTTTACATAAAGTTTGATGAAATACTCATATATTTAAAAATGTAGATAACTATCACAGAAGAAAATCCTCAGAAGAATTTACAGGGTAAGAAATGCTTCTCAAACCACTTGGTTCAATGACAGCATACCTTGCCATAGACTGACCTCACTTAAAAAAACAAACATCTTGAGACTTCTGTGTGGCTGTTGACTAGCTATACAAAATTAATATACTTGTGCAAAAGAGACATTGCATGGCTGAAAGCATTTACACAGTATTTGAGAATTACAGCATTTCTCACATTCCGCTAGGCTGATCATAATACTTCTTTAAAAACATAAAAGCAGTGTAAATCAAGAAAGTTCACAGGCCTGGCATCTCTCTGCAAGTGACAATAGAAAGAACAAGTAGTGCCTATCTAGTCTTAACTTCTTGACTGTGATACCTAACAAAATTTCTCAGCGTTTTTGAAGAGGATTAACCTTGAAACATTAAATAGGGCATGAAAGCCTGTTGTTGCAGCTTTCTTGAAAGCTAGACAAAAATGTCAGACTACACAGAATGTAACATCTAATAATTTTAATATTAAAGATTCTAAAACAATTTAGCCAGGAAGAGTTTTGCTCGAGGTGACAAGCAAAAAGCAGTCTAGTCAGATGCAGAAAGTTTCTTCAAGTCAGAAGTAATTTTGAACTTACCTTCAGCCTGTAAATAGCAGGACTCCCAGGGAAGAGCTTAGCAGCTCTGTCAACCCAGTATTTTGCTCTTCCATCAGTAATGTCATTATTGCACAGTAACTCTGCAATCTTCAATACAAGATCTTTCTGTGTTGGGTTCAACTCCACGGATCGCTAGTTTTCCCCATACACATACAGGAGGAGAAAAAAAGAAAAGCAACTTGATCTTATGATCCATACAGAACAGGTAAGAGCTATACCTCCAAAAATATTCTATTCTAATGAAATAGACCTATAAATACAGAATACATAAGAAAAGCCTTTCCAAATGCCACCACTAGTTTACAGCACCCAGGTGCAACTTCTGGAATTCAGAAGAGCATTAAGAGAAGTAATGCAAAAGCCATCTCCACTGCATCTACCACTAGCTACTGCTATATCCGGGCAACACGAATAGAAGGACCTCTAGTCTAGCCAGATGCAGAAACTTCAACAAGAAAAAATAAAGACACAGAGTTTAAGAAGTGTGATAGCACTTCATAGAGCTGTATTGGCCAGACTTCTGAGCACATCATCTCTCTCCCCAAAACCAGAACAAAGGCATTTCGACTGGGAATTTGACGTTTATATACTTGCCTAATCAAAATCAGATCTGCCCTTCTCTTCTGCCGCTCCAAAACCAACTAACCAAAAAAACACACTAAGTCTACAGCCTTATAGCAGCAACTAGACTCCAGGTGTCACCACAGTTTGCAATGTATGACAAGGGGAGAATTTAACAGCAGGCAGCACAAAGATCAAAACCAGAACAAAAAACAAAGAAGCAACTTAAAAATACACTACTGAAGCAGGTGATATCAAGTCAAGGATCTTCTCTTCAGTGCTTCATGTGCTTCCATTGTCAAATGTAATACAGTTTTCCCAGGAGTATGCTTTCTTCTATAGGTTTCAGAATGTTCAGCACAGAAGGATTTTAGAAGTCCATTTATAAAGAAATAAAGCAGGATATTACGGGTCAGTGTAATACTTACCTTGTAACACCCAAAAGCTTTTTCTATGTTATCCTCAGCTTCATAAATTTGTCCAAGAAATCTGTGTGCTTTGGGATCTCTCTCTTGCACATTGAGGTATGTAGATATGTACCTATGAAGGGGGGAAAAAAGTCAGTTGCTTAACCAGTATTTTTCAATAACACTCCCCCTCCCACCCTGAGCTATAATGGCAACTTTAACTGCCATACAGGAAGTACAGATGTATTTTGTTCTAGATACTTTGGCCAGACCATACAGGAAGTATAAACATGTTTTGTTCTAGACTTTTAAGTTAGTAGCAACACAGCTTATAAATGTACTAATGCTACTCGCCAGCATTTCTGTTTATTAAACAAAACAAAACAACAAAAGCAGGAGTTTGCAGAAATGGTAAGAACTACTCAATACAAGGAAGAGGGGAAAAAAGCGCCACTTCACCCTGGTTTTTCAGTACCACAAAACTAACCTTTTTTTAAATTATCGTTTTACAAATATTTAAATAGCATTCAATATCCACATTCACTGCTACCTTAAAGCAGTATGACATTGATCTTGGTTTCTCTGGTCTACTTCATATTAATGTAGCTTTTCTTTTACATTTTAAAGAACAAAAAACCAAACATACATCAACACATGTTACCTTTTAGCAAGTTCATATTCTTTTATTTCAAAATACAGCTTAGCAAAGAGGAATCCTTTCATCGATTTCTGAAGGAGAAAAACCATGACAAACATACTTTAGACATACAGTACTTCAAAAATAATTCCATAGCGTGACCTTTCTTTTCAGCAACTCCTAATACTCGGATGACTGAATTTGACAACTAGTTATCAGCTCAAATCCACTTGTCATATTTAAGGGTTTGTTTTTGAAAGATGTAGGTTTAAGAATAAAAAGAGTAAAAGGTTTTGCTATAATCAGCAAAGGCTACTAGCCAAAATAGAGATTACAACTCAAGAAAGCAACAAGCCTTTATACGTGCGGTATTTCATACACTACTCACTAAAGAGAGTGGAAGAATAGAGTCAGCTACATTTTATTTATTTCATTGCAATGTAGCAAGGAAAAAAAAGTATCCTACCAACCAAGGGATATCTGTCTTTAGCTCTGCTGTAGTATACTGTTGTCAGACACTGCTGTTTAAATATACTTAAGGAAAGAGTAGTTTCTAAGTCATTCTCAGTTTGGGCAAGAAATGTATTTATGCAGTAGTTTATTTCTGACTAAAATAATTTGAACATATACATTCTACAGGCAAAAGGTGAAACACCTCCAAAGGTATTTTTGGGAGGCAGAAAAAGGAAATAATAAGGGCAAAAGAAAAAGAAACACAGAGAGCTGGCACAGGGCAAGATGTCAGAAGCACAAATAGGAGGAAAGGAATGAAAGGAATAGGCTAAAGAATTGATAAAGTTACAAGCAAAAACCTCAAGGTAGAAGTAAACCAGACAAATGTAAAGCTTCAAGTCCTAAGATCAGTTCAAAAGCAGATTTTGCTTTTAAACCAAAAAATACTGGAACTAGTTACATCTATGATTCCAAACAAGTGTGTACATTTTGAACACATTTGAATTACTAGTCTCCCTCCCTCTCTCACCAGCACTATTCATGCAAAATTTTAAAAAGTGGTTAAAAATAGAAGCAGGCCTCATAGGATACTTCAAGTTTTCAGTCTGTATTTTTGAAGTCTGTTATAAAAAGACAACACTGAAATTTCTCAAAGTGGAGTCACATCTGGCATCTCCTTTTAAACATGGATGAAAAGAAACCTCAAAATAAATGCTCTGCAGTCTTATAAGCACCCCCCTCCTAAAATCAACACAACAAGAACACCAGTAACATTTTCCACCACTGACTGTGCTTCTACAATTTGCTGTAAGCATTACTTATTTAAAAAAAAAAAAAAAAAGACAACAAAGTAAATATGCACCAGTAGGTCTTAAGCACAAGAGGAGGCAAGGATTTATTTTGTCGTTGAGTTCATTAGGAATATCAAAAAAAATTAAAGAGCACCCATGATTCTGACAGTGATGTCCTTGACATGGCCTGGTCTAAACAGCTCTTAAGTCAATTACACGATTCACAGAACAACTTTGTTACTGTTGGAAAAGAGGTACAAATCATGAGGACGTGGCCCTGCTAAAGGCCCCTCTGCATAGTGGTGAACATGGATGCATTCACACCGTGCAACAGTGCTGAACATTCTAACTCCACAATAAAATCAGTTCAGAGCAGCAGAACAGGGTAACTCCCATGAACTGCATCAGACCTGTATGCCACTTCTCAGATATAATGAAAAATGGTAAAAAGTCATGCCGAATTCCTCATCCTTCTGTGTAGTTACTAAAATACAATAGGAAGATTATTTTTTCCCAGTTCTCCCCCTTTTAATAGTTCTATACAGACAAGAATATTAATAACGTGGTACATAAAAAGAAACTGAAAGTGTCTCACATGTTTCCTTGTTTCAATTCTTTCCTCGAGAAAGAGAAACTCGGGAAACACAGGAACTAAACTCACAGACCTGAAGAACTCAGTACTCAGAGAGCTGGTAGACTCTAAAAAACCAGGTGCACAGCTCTGGTAAACCCCTGCTCCCAGTTAGGAAAGCACCTCCAGTAAGCGAAACCCCACGGCCCTTCCCCTCAGCTCTCTCGACTTACAGAGACCCTGAGTAAATACGGACTCACAAATACTTCCAGAGACACCGCAACTCGCAGAATCTCAGAATACTTAGGATTGGAAGGGACCTCTGGAGATCACCAAGTCCAACCCCGCTGCCAAAGCAAGGTCACCTAGAGCAGGTGACACGGGAATGCGTCCAGGTGGGGTCTGAGTGTCTCCAGAGAAACATCCCTCCAGAGAGGGACCCACAGCACCGAGGCTCCGGGTACGGCGCGGGAGCCGCCAGAGCGCAGCCGCCCCGCACGCAGGCCGGGCAGAGGCAGCGAGAGCAGCCGGCCCCCGGCCCGGCCGGGCAGCGAGGCCTCCCGGCGGCGCGGGGAGAGGGGGCCACCCATCAGGACGCGAGGCAGGGCGGCCGACACCGCCCCACGCGAGGTGAGTGTGGGAAAGGCTCCAGATGGGCCCGGCGGAGCGGCCGCAGCGGCCCCCGGGCCCGGCAGGGCGAGGCCGCGCTCACCTCTCTGGGGGACGAAGTCGCGGCCTGCACGGAGGCGACGTAGCGCTCCACCTCGGGCTTCGTGCGCCTCATCATGGCGCCGCCGCCGCGGCGAGCGCCGCGCCCGGGCTGCCTGCCGGCGGAGCGCGGTTCCCGGGCGGGCGGCGGCGGAGCGGCCGGAGCGCCGGGGAGGAAGGGAGGAAGGGAAGGGAGTGCGGGCGGGCAGGAAGCGCCGTAGGAAGCGCCGCGGCCGCCGCTCGTTACGCAAGTTCCCGCGCACCGTGCGGCGCGCGCAGCCCCGGCGGGTGGGCAGGCACCGCCCCCACCCGTATCAACGGCCGCGCATGCGCACAGGGGGAGGGGCGCGGCTGCTGAGGGGAGTGGCGGGGCGATTGCCACAGAAAATCGTCGTCAGCGCCAAACCGAACCTTAGCGTTTTCTCACCCGCAGCTATAATAAACTCTCACCTAAAACTACGTAACTCTCACCCAAATAATATATAATAATGTATTAGGTGATAATATATTTATCAGCTAAATAATATACTATACATATATAAAACTCTCACCTAAAACTATGTAACTATGCTGGGGCAGGGGACCGCACTGGAGTTCACTCCAGTTCTCACTGAAGAACGTCACTGCTCTTCAGCCGATGGCGAGGCATAGGAAATTGCCCTCATACAGACCAGGTCCAGCACTTTGACACTGGTCACTGTCTTGCCCATCCCTGTGGAAGTGGCAACCCCCATGTTGTCCCTGGTGGTCACAATATCGGGCAGGACAGCATTGATTCCAGTGCTATCCCTGCAACCGGACTGTGCTCAGCTCAGCTCACTACTTATCCATGGAAACAGAGCACAAGGCTTGCCACTGCAAGCAGCAGTGTCTCACTGCTTTAGGCTCAGCTGCTTCACCCTACAGCAACATCCACTGGGCTTTCTGGAGTGCTCCCTACTGTCAGCCTAAGCAGGGGATTCTAAAGGAATCTCTCTTGCCCACACAATTAATTGATGCAGCAGAAAGGGGCAAAGCTGCTGAGGCAACCATTCCCAAATCCCAGGCTCACAGCCTCTTTGAGAGACTTTGGAGGTGCATGCGCAAAAAACCAAGAATGGACTTTGCCTCTTCCAGGAAATTATGTGAAGCTATGCCAAATATTTATAATACTGATGAGCCAGGACAGGAAGTGAGCTTCAACACCAGACATGTAATTGTTCAGGCTGTCTAATTGCTACCTTGCTCCCTGGCTCTGCTTTGCAATTTCTTTTAATTAATCCTCTTCATGATAATCTCCAGGGGTATTATTCTAATGACACTTCACACCACAGACAGCTCCCAGGAGAGCTCCATGGATTTGGGGAATTCTCCACTCGAGATAGGACCCCTATAATAACACAAGCCATTTTCACTATGAGGGTGATAAAGCACTGAAACAAACATACTATCCACAAAGGCCTGAGAAATCTCCTTCTGTGGCAACACTCACAGGCTTGGCTTCTGTACTGATCCAACTCTGAGCAGATGGCTGGACTAGCTGATCTCTAGCGGTCCCTTCCAACCAATATTTTTCCATGCCTCATCAGGCTTTCAACCTCTGAGTACCCCAGATGCTCTCAGTGCTACATCATGGGATCTGAGATACACCTGCTCATGTTCATGAAACAGAAACCACTGCCTTGTGAACTGTAGCACAGTGTTCACCCTCAGGAACTTGGAAATGGAAAACCCACCCTGTGTCAGGGCCCAGGAATGCCAGAGTGGAGAGCAGACCCAAGGCCACTGTGCTGCAGCTGGATGTAACCCCAGGCAGTGGGGATGTGATTCAGGTCTTGCCATTTAGCCTCAAGGTTAGGGACCCTTCCCGACTCTTTGAGCAGTAAGGCTGGACACACGTAGATGAAAGGAAAAGATGTGCAGCCAGTGTAATGTGAAAAACCAATAAGTCTGTTACAACTTCAAGGGGAAGCACTGCCGAATATGGTCTGCCGAATACATGGCACAGGCCAACAGGGCTACCATGCTAATTATGTAAATGCTTTTTGGGGACATTTTAAGCTTTTGTAGTCTTCAGCACAATCAGGACTGCATTTATAAATGTTATGGCATTCAATAATTATTTAGGATAAAATAGTCAAAAAAATACCTTACCCAGCACTAAACTGGAAGTTTGGGGTGATAGTTTCATTACAGGGAAAGGAGAGAAAAAGTTAATAGGAAGGTGTATATTTTAAATTCAGACAAGATACCTTCTTTAGGAAAACCAAGTGACTGTGCCTGTTCAGAAAATACCTAGAAGAATCAAGTTGTTCTTTATGAAAGAAATTCTGGTTTCTTTTATGAACCTTAGAACTAACTATCCTTTAAAATAGGATAATAAGGAAATATTTACTTAGTCACAGGTAAAAGCACACGGAACCAAGAGAGCCTTACTTCTTTCCCACCTTCTCAAGCAGTCATTTCAGAGAGGTGATACAAGGTTTAATAACATGGCCTTTATTGATGACATTGGAAAGCAGATGTTTTAAAGTAACTTATTTTTCATAAACAGGAAAGAAAATTTTACTTCCTATTATGTAATTACATAAAATGTGTTTAAATCACTAATATAAAAAAAGTTAAAAAAAAGTTGGCGTACTTTGTAATGTAGTACCATCAGGAAGTCCTAAGTAACTGTATTTTCTATAAGAAAGGGAAAAATAAAACAAATTCGCATGGACAGAAGTCAATAGTATAAAACAATTAAATGTATGTTATACAGAATTTTGATTATTTGTAAGCTCAGTCACGTGAGGATGGCTAAAGAAGCAGATCCTAGCAGGATCAAACTTTGCAGATTTACACTCACAGGTGTAAAAATAATATTGCCAGTTAACTGAAATATGCATTTTCAGTATTTTTCTGAAAATGAATGAAGTCTAGAAGCTACGTTTTAAACTCAGATGTTCACATTTGAAATAAAATGCTTCTCACATCCTTTATAATTAAGGCAAAGTATGTTATCTTTTGAAAATACCTTCTATATAGTTTCTGCATAAAAATATGAAATAAAAAATAAAACTATATATTTTAATGGAACACCATTATGTATGGTCCAGCAGAATAAGGCACAAAAAGTAAATAGAATGCTAAAGCATATATAAAAGTTAATGTGTTATTTTAAGTGGAATATAGCAAAATTCAAGTAGTTCTGAGTATGCTCATTTCTTGCAATAGGAATACATTTTTATATAGGTATCTCATGCTAAGCCTGATGTACAAACATTCAACATGTAAGCATAATCTATTGGAAGTAGGTCATTTGTACAGTGACTGTATTTAGAAATCTGATAGTTTTTGAACCATCTGAAGCAAGGCTCCTTAATAAAACTACCTAGCCTGAAATCCAAGCATGAATTTTTCCATGAGGCAAAGTACATTGATTTCTTGCCCAAATCACAACATGAGTTGAACAAGTTTTGTCTGCATGCTTAATATGAAGGTTAATACTTTCATTAACATAAATGACAATCCATACCCCTCAAGTTGGGCACATTTGCACAGTTTGTTTTCACCGGTGCTCACAAGCAAATTTACTCTCTAAAATTCCACAGAGATTAGTGTACAGAACAGGCCTCCTGCATCAGTACAACTGCATTATTGGTCAGAAACCTTTCAGGTGAGCTGGTATTTAATTTAGTCTGGAAGCATTGTCTGCTTATCAACAAATAAGCATACATGTAAAGAGAACAGAGAACCTTAGGATATTTTTGTTTGACAGAAGGCATACATCATCATTTGTTGTCTGACTGCAGTCTCAAAGCAGCCCACAGCCTGTCCCCCGGCTCCCCCCAACAAGTAATATCTCTAAGATTTTCACAAAGGAAGGGGAGAGCAGATGAAGTCTTTACTTCCTTCCCAAAGTTTCAGCTAGTTTCTTCAGTCTTTTCTTCAGCTCTAGAGGAAACTTCTCATAACACTTTTTGCAGACAGGCTTCATATCAAACTCAACAAATTTATTCCTGAAACAACAAAGCAAAACCCAAATCTTTAGTAGATGAGGTCATGAAAAAAAGAATTTAAAAAAAAATCTATTAAATGTGCACAAGCAAAAAATTAAACCTCCAATTTATACATATATGTTACTTTTATAAGGTTATATACAGTGCAGACAGTGATTACAGTACCCTGCTGAGTAAGTTACACAGTTTTTACCCAGATGTCCATCTTTATTAACCATTTAATTTAAAAAGCCTTTCAAACCTAATTGTACAGATAAACAGACTAAACATAAGATAATGGAATAATAAGTTAATATTTCAAGTTGCAGTTGCATAAAAAATATTTTGGATTTGATTGCCATAAATTCACGCAGAAGCTTAAAAAAGCATCCTTATCACTAACCAAAGAAGAAAGGAGCAGGGATGGTGGTAAGAAGGAAAAAAAGTTTACAAACAGATCGGCTTTTTCTTTTTCTGCTTCTCTTTATCCTTTGCTTCACGTTCCCGTTTGGCAAGTCGTCGCTTAAATTCATCTGGCATTTTCTCATAACAGTGTTTGCAGACAGGTTTTAGATCAATTTCAACAAACTTATCCCTTTAGAGTTAAACACAGAAAAATAAAGGACAGAAAAGGAGAAGAGTTAGAAAGACTAACTGAAGGAAGACCTGAATAGACAACTGACAGAGACATAAAGTAGTAAGTGTAGCAAGAGGAAGAAAGATGCACGTATTTCCTCAATGCTGCTGAGATGTTCTTCATACAGTAACATCTACACTGTAGCAACATTTACACTTTGAAGAGAACCACTGACATGTTTTGAAGGCATCACACTTATTGATACACTTACTTGAGTGTTAACTTAGTGTTGCAAGTTGAACAAGAGAAACAGTTCACGCACCATGCCTTATTCAGAGCCGACACAACTAGGGAGATGTGAAAACCAAGAAATCATTAGCATTGCCAAGGAAAAAAAAGTTATTACAAAAATTTCAATCTCACATATTCATGAGGTGTGAAGAACAGTCACTGATCCTTGTATCAAGTATTAAGGACCATAACAATAACGTGGCAGGACTAGGGAGGCAGATGTAGAGCGTAGCGTAGCAGGACTGTGAAGCATTGACAGAGGCAAGACCAGCTTAACCTATTTTTGCCTCCTATTTTTTGCTTCCACCTCATCACACACCATGCTGATCTCAGGCAACTATTCTATGAGGCCGTGTTTTCAATTTAATCAGGAAACATTTCCAGCTGAAGAGAAATCCAGCAAAATATTGGATTCTTATAATTTGTAACAACAAAAAACTGTCAGATTTGTGCACAGAAATGAAAGACAAAATATAATCGAAGACATACACTGAAAATAAAGAAATTACTGTATTCTGTTCAGTACTATATTCTGTTCAGTCCAGAGACCAAAACACACAATATGGGTGTCAGATTATATGGTGAAAGCTTGCAATCATATAAAGAAGTAGTTCTCTTGCAAGTTCCAATTCTGCTCATTCTAGTAGAATTTTAATGAAAAGGAGGACTCTGGTTCCTTTAAAGCATTTGGGATTGTCATTCTGTAGTTATAGTCTAGTCCAGAAAATGTGGGGAAAGCACATCTATGGAATGTATGTCTTATCCTATAGTTACATGACTATAAACTAGTATATGTCTTGTTTTGCACGTTAGAGGCTTCCTCCTAGTTTGCTAATGGCTTTGGCTTAGGTGAGGCTAGCATTGGTATTATAGTATTTACTTTGGGCAGGGGTAAAAAGACATGTAATGTTGCATTGTTTCAGGTAGAATAATTCACTTTTGGCTTTTTATCACAGTTGGCTATCCAAAAAACCTCTCAAAACCACCCCCCCCCCCCAAAAAAAAACAAACCCCAAACCCCTCAGTCAAACAGTAATAAACAAATCACTACCAGTTCTGCCTTTACAGGACACATATTTTCAAGTATTATCATTCCTGGTTTTGTGACATTATCATTAGCCTAGATTTTCAAAAGACAGGTGCCTGTGATAGATAGGTAAATATCTCCAGGAACCGCTGGCATAATGGGAATAAGGCACTTCTAAAAAATTCCTAGGAGTGCCCACCTACGTCTTTTGGTATCTAAATATTTTTTCAAATTTGGTTCATGATCCTCCTTTGAGAAGATGTCTGTGTGGTCATTCTCACCCTTGCATGTGTTGTTTTTGAAGCTGGTGGGGCAGGAAGCCACTCCTGAGCATCTTCCAGCATTCCTGGCCTTTGCAAGTCATTAAGGGGTTTCACCATTCTCTTCAGCCACTGGGTGGTCTTCTACCATCATCAAATGCTTGCTATAAGATTTTCTAACCATTTAGTCTCTGAATAATTAGCTCTAATTTAATTACTGATCAAGAGAATGGCTGGGTTTTTTTAATGGGAACAATCAAGGACTCAACATAGGGCTGTTTTCCCTTTACTGTCACTTTTAAAGAGAACTTCCATCAGAAAAGAACATTAAGGAAACAGTTAGAAAAGTGCTTACCATCTCCTTCAATCACACGATTGCAATGGAAACAAACATCACCAAATAGCTGAAGATGAAAGAGAAGTAAGGGATTTTTAATGTAATGACTTTATCAAGGGTAACTTCTCAAACTAACAAAATAACTGTATTTCAGCTGATGGGCATAATTACTTTCCTATTTGTTCCAGTAAAATAAAGAGAATGCTGGCAGGTCTGGTTTGGTTTTCCAAGTACATTTTGCATCATCTCATTATAAAAGGTCTTGGTAATATTAAAGATACACATTTGCTTACCTTTATTTGATCCTCTCTAAATCAGATTTCGTTTTGTTTTAACATTTCTCTAATCCTGAACATTTGAAATACAGCAGTTGGTGTCACACACTGTTACTAACCAAATAACTGAACATCTGGACTCACGTGCATGACTAAAATGACATATTGCTGTTTCTGGCAAAAATTTGGAAAGGAAATGTTATTTTTAGTTTAAAAAAAAAAGGAAACTTTAGGACAAAAATTATTCATTCTTTTTCTAGGCTTAACATTTGTCCATAATATAACAAATAAGAAAATTTCATGTATTTTTCTCTAACTGCATTAGTTAACCTAGTAAAAGACATCCACTTGACCCAGGAATGGTTTTTCACAGCTCTTGTCTGGTATATGTACTTGCCCCATCACTATTACTACTAACATCATGGCATTTATAGTCTACAAGTAAGCCAGCAACAATCATCTGCCCGTCACCACCGACAAACTAAGACTCCCTCTGTAATTAGCAGGTGCCTTACAACTCCCAAATGTAACCCCTACTCTTGTGTTTATGTAAGCAAGGAGGTGAACGTTGACACAATGCAGATGGCTTCCAAATAAAAAAGGTCTGTACATCATGGTGCTGGACTCCTCAACCAGGGCAGTCTGGAGAGAGGGAACCACGATATGTAACTTCTGTATAAATGCAAGTGGTCACTAGGTGGTGTCTTCTGACAAATTTAAGTCTTCAAAGTCTTCATCAACCTAATGACTGAGGGGGAGATGCAGCTATGTGACCATACAGTCATCTTAAGAGTTAAAAGCTGTAGGGAAACCCAGGCTACTCACTAGGGCCTCATCTCCAACTGCAGTTACTGAGTGGCAAATCTTCTTTAACTTCTTGTCAAGACTCGGTGTCATTAGCTGCTCTGATCTCACAGACATCTAAAAGCCTGTAACAGCTCTGCTTAAGTAGACTAAGCTTGAAGAACATCTTGATACTGATTGTCCTATGAAATACCTGCAGTTTTTTTCCTCAATGCAAGAATGATGAATAGAGAAATCTGTATAAATTAACTGCAACAAAACATCTGCTAATTTGCATTACACCCACAGGTGCCTTCAACAAAACAGAAGAATGTCCATGTTTTACATCTCTATCTAATAAAATCAATTTGTGAGTTGACCAATTAATGCTATTTTTAAAAATATGCAACCTTACCTGATTGTAGTGGGTTTCACAATATGCCAAGCCTTTTCTCTCATAATGACGATGACCCAGGAATGGTTTTTCACATTTTGCACAAACAAAATGCTACCAAGAAAATGACACATACATTTTTTTATTTTTTTGAAGTAATGTTATTTTTTCTGGAAAGCAAACCAACCAAGTCCACTACTGAACATGACTGAAGTCTACTGAGCTAGCTGTGCCATCTTCAAAAGCAGAGTTAAACTACATTTAGACCACTAAAATAGTATTTCTTTTAATGTCTTCAAAATTTCAATCCAGAAGTTACAAAAAAAAAAAAAAATCAAGCAAAGGATTCTCATTTTTTTATCAATGAACAGAATTAGGAGTTAGTAAATAATCTGCACCATCATTACACTCTTGTGAAGGAAGCGTTTCTAGAGGAGATTTTCAAAACAACAGAAGGAATGAACTGTTTATATTTCTAAACTAAGTGGAAGATGTGGAACTCAATCTTGTACATGGCCTTGAAATAAGAACTCTCACATGAACTGTTACAAGAGATATGTACATGGCAGGTGACTATGGAAGATCTATGTGTATTATGATGCTCCATAACATTACGATTGCCACAGATTTTACCTGCACTGTTTTGCACTCTCAAATTTTCTTTTCTAAGGACCTCACCGTGCTTTCTTTGATTACTGATTTTAGTTTCGCAGTCAAAGCTCTCTGTCAGATAGGAAATTACTCCTATTCCACAGTGGTAGACTAGCCACATTAAGGTTGAAGAGGGATTCAGAGAAAGTTTTTATAAACCTTGTTGTAAACTTTGATAATCCTTTCATTGAAACTGATCAGCAAAATCACAGGTTTTTTAACAGTAAATATGTTGATGTTTACATTTGTAAAAGACATTATATATCATCTGATGTTTACCTCCACATGCCATTGTTTTCCCATAGCATTCACCACACGGCCTTCAATTGGTCTTCTACATGCCCCACAGATGGGGACACCCATTTTGTCATGGCAGGGTAAGCAGTAGAGTTCTCCCTTCAGCTCACGAGCATCAGCAGTAAGTTCCTTCCTATTCAGAAATTAATGAATTGAGAGCATGAATAAAGGCAATGAATAATGTCAACTCTTGAGAGTTTATGAAAAACAAAAAAATTAGCGTTTGTTTAGAAATTATATTTATACTACAGTAATGTGGCAGCATCAAATATAACCAAGTTCAAGAGAGTTCAAGACTGATCACAGTGAACTGAGAACAGGCTGCTAAGTGAGGTGCAATAAATCTCATAGAAACAGCTATTGCCATTCAGATTATGCAGCACAAATCTGTGTGAAAGCTGCAGACATTTGGTTGATATACTGGCACTCATCAGCAGTTTATTTCAGATTTGCAAAACTGTAACTGAAAGTAAAATGTAGTCCTCTACATCTAAGTACATTTTCCTTGAAAGAAAACTACAGACCCATATGAGCTAGGTTTATTCATTTCCAGATGTAGAATCTCATATACTCTACTTTTCAATAAATTGCATGGTTAGATGCTCAGAACAGCTAAACCTTAAAAGTGACTATAATCGCTAATAATCTCAGTGGGTAGCCACTGACATAACACTACATTGTTATTCAAATTAGCCTTTACTATGGCACTGAAAGCAGCTTCCTTTGCACCAGAAAGAAACAACTAAGAATCCATGGTATGTCCTACAATGCCCCATGGTCCATGCATCAGTGCAGGATATAGAAATGTGTAGTTTCACATGCTGCAGAAGCAGAAGCTGACAAAATGAGGTGGGAGAAAGCTCCTAAAGAAGATACGCTTTAAAAAGAGAGAACAAAGTTTGCATACCACTCAACTAAAAAGAAATAACATAGGCAAGATAGTAATTCAAGAAGGAAAAGAGGACCATTTTTCTTCTTCTCCTAGCAGAATAACAAACTATCATTTCACTGCTACAGAAACTGTATCTGTGTCCATACTTCCTATTTTGTAAGGTACCACCTTGTCCTGTAGAGTCCAATCTTTCTTTACTCCCCAAAAGTTCAGCTGTTATTCAAATGTTACTATGCCAAAAGCAGTAACACATTTGGCCACAAGACACCCAAACCCCTCCCCTCTTGCCAGCTGTACAGGACAAGTTTTCACTTTAAGATGTAAATCCATGAATCAAATAAGCCCAGCGTTTTCCCGTTTTCCTTTGCAGAACTCAAGTTACCCGCAGTTTGCACAGTTGAAATGATCAGGGTGATAAGGATCATTTTTGAATATGAGAGGCTGTTCATCAATAATGGCATGACACTTCTGGCAAATGTACTTTCCCAGGCCTCTGGCTTTTTCCCTGTTATGGCAAGGACGGCAGAGATGTCTGAAACAACATAAAAGAAGAGAGGTAAATACTGGTACCAAGTACTACAGTGCAAAAATCTATCAAAACTTCATTTCAATCAGTCCTTTTTTTGGAGGGAAAGTAATTTTTAAAACAATTTCTTTGCTAGGCAAACCAAGTTCAGTGCAGCAAAATTATCTCCTAAGTTCAGACTGATCATTTTATTTTCTGTCTCCACAGGAGTATCTCTTCATCAGCGGAGTTTAAGCTATGTTGAAACACAGAAAACAAAGTTTGCTATAGATTATCGTTGCTGAATGTTTTACTTTCAAAATCTTAGAAATTTAGATTGGAAGCTGGATGACTACACAAATCCTAATTCTGTAGATAATTCTGTATGTTATATTATACATATGAAGGCAATGGCCATAGAATTTACCTGTAAAACATTCTTCCGATCATAGCTGGTAAAAATATCCTACTCCATGAAGGGTCCCACCAAACATAAACGAATTATTAATAAAAAAGGTGCCAAACTAGATCAAAATTGGAGACCCCGTTGGAAAAAGAAAGTAAAAATGTTTATTAAAAAAAATAAAGACACTACTTCTGTATCTGAATGTTTTCTCTCTTTTTATGTGTAACAATGATTCTAAAACGTCACTGGGTAGAGAGCATGTTTCCCAAGAAACCTACTGTTGAAATAGATAAAATGTTAATATTTTAAGGTACCCATTCTTAGTTCTGTGATGCACTCTTAGACCTTTTCCCCACAGAAGTTGCTTCAGTTGCTCCATCTGAGCTGGAAAGCTTCAGGAACCAAAATCTCTCAGTCCCCCCTACTAGTTCATTTAATTTATGACCAGTTAACAAAAGGAAGAGTGGAGATCTACCTGCCAGCATTCTTGACAAATCCAATATCAGCCAACACTGCTTTGCAGATATCACAGCAGAAGCACTCTGGATGCCAGCTATTGTTCATGGCTTTAATAACACGACCAATAATGAACTCACCTGTAAGAAACACAACACCGGGATATAAAATACCATACTACACAAAGTTAAAAGCCCTACAATGACATCATCATCCTTTCCCTCACCCCAAAATCTGGTAGGATACATTGTTTGCAGTATCATAGTTCTGATTCCAAACTCTGTAATTTGGGGGGTTTTGTTGCTTTTTGCTATGGATCAGAAGAAGATATCTTTGCTGATGGAGAACCTTCTGCTCTTTACACACAAGTCTTTTACATGCACACTCCACCTTCTCCCTGCAATTATCTTTTTTCCTGTTTTTACTTATCTGTTCTCAAGCTGTTAAGAAATTTACGGAGTACTTGATATAATATGGCTTTCTTGTGCCCTAATCATCCTTTTCCTTCTTTTCTTTAAGAAGATGACAATCTTAACTTGCCATGTACTTAGCAGTGGTTTCTACTCCCCTAGGATTAAGCCTTGAAGGGGCTCTATACTCAAAGCACAATAGCACTGAGCTGGGGTGGCTGTGGACCTCCTGCAAAAAAAAAAAACCAACTCCCATGAAGTCCAAATGCAAAGCTGCAGTGACACTGTAGAACAGTCATTCCAACACACGCAACTTCTGACCTACCACGAAGGGTCCTGTCCTGCGAGGCATTAAAAAATAGTGTTTTGCATGCACGGTGTATGCACAGGCAGTGGAGTGATGTCCATCACACACGTGATTTCCTTGCTCTCTGCGTGTAGCCAAGGCCCCTGAGCAGTGCAAAGGCTTGGCCTAAAATGTGTTGGTAGCTCAGCTTCCCAGGGCTGTGGGAGGCCGAGTCCTGGCTTTGGAGAACAACTCCCCTCAAAGGGGAGGGATTGGCAGTTAACCAATCTAGGAACAAAACCTGATGGACTCCAGAAATGTCAGGAATGCTTGAGGTGTCATCGTGACAACAGTCCCATTGATTTTGGCTCTGCTTGCTAAGTACAAACAGTGGGAAAGCACAGCTCTGTGCAGAACCTTGATGAGGTTTTAAGGGAGTTGGCACTGCAGAGAGCCAGAACAGGAGAAGGGGGAGCTGTGCTGGGTGGGCAGAAGAAATCCTGGAGACAGGGAGTGTATCTCCTCAGAAATCACCCTTCTTCTTCTTTCTCTGCTTGTTCACATCGGCAGCTTTAAATGCAAAGTTCCATAACATCTGCTTCCCTCTCCCTTGGTGTTCAGCCCCTCCCTCCACACAAGGAAAGGCCTCACTGAGATAAGTGAAAGCCATACTGCCTTGCCAGGGTGCCACAGAAACACAAGAGCTTCCAGACCAGTTTAAGCAATGACTTAAGTCAAATAATGACTTCCCAGCTGTTCCCCAGCAAAATGTGTCACACACAGGGGGAAAAACATGCAAATGATTACAGCGCAGCAGACGCACAAGCATTTACATCAACAGTGGCAAATAAAAAGAGCAGCCTTCACTATTACATAGGGTGGACATTAGATGCTGAAGCCCTAAAGGAATTTGTTTCAAAAAAATCAGCAGGGGCCCAGCTGACCATCACTTGATTATATCACTAGATATTGATGATTGTCCCAGCTTCTGGGGAGGAGGACAGCACAGGTGGGTTACATTAGTCAAAGCAGATGACAAAACCTTGTTGCAGGGTTTCAGATACATAAGAAGGGCCAAATATCAGCATATGCAGAAATGCAGAAATATAGAATCAGGAGTCATGAATGGTGTATATAATCAGGAATTTATGAATGGTCTGCTCATTGGATCACTGACTCAGCAACTACTTACTCAAATAATGCAAACTTTTTTTAAAAAGTACTATTGTTTGCTCACCTGAGAGCTGAAAAAGCAACTCCTTGAATTCTCTGAAATCTAGTACATTCTGCAAATTCACAGGGCCACTTCCCAGAGAATACACACAAGGGTTGCCTTTCTTCCCCCAGTGACACTCCCATTTGTGATCAAGTGTTTCCCCTTGATTTAAAACTTACCACATTCATGGCAGCAAGGGGCAAAAAGCATTTGAAAATCATGTTCGCAGTACTTTCTCCCTTCAAACTGCAAATGGAAAAAGATCTGAGTGTTAGAGGGATGAGGAAAACGATCTTAACATAAAGGCTGTAACACCCTGGAGTGTTTCCAGATACAATTAGGTAGTAAAACATGAGGGGCTGCACAAAAGAGCTGCACAAAAGAGCTGCACAAAAGAGCTGCACCATGAGCTACAGGTGCTAGGCATTACATCCACCCACCTTAATTCATCTATTAGCACGTAGTGTTAACAGCACACCATTCCTCCAATACTGCCAAGAGCGTAAGGCATCTTCTGTCATCAATTTACATCACAAGAGACATCTGAATTCTGAATTTTGACAGACTGCTGAAACTCTGATGCAACAGAGCACATTCTGAGCAGGAAGTTAGCTAACAAAAACCTCTGGGCAGTGGGAGGGAGAAAGCATTTTCCCTGAACACATTTGATGTCTTCCTCACTCCACATTTCCTGCAAGAATGACCCAGCATACTGAAGGCAGTAAGTACGGTGGGGGTAGGGAGAGGAAGAATATCCAGGGACAGAAATCTTTGATTTTATGGAGCAGGACAGCCAAAACATGAAGGGAAATAAGCCTTTTCCTTCGTGATGCTTATTTCATAGAATCATAGAATCATTTAGGTTGGAAAAGACCCTTAAGATAATCAAGTCCAAATATTAAGGAACAAAGTTCACTACATGGATCAGATTAAACTGGGTACTGGTCTTAAGGGATTTGGACTTGGATCTGAATTTTATCACAGCTTAGATGAGTTCAGCTACAGTTCAAGCTCTCATATAAAAAAACCCTATATGGAATTAAAAAAATCAGCAGCGCTGCATTAGTAGCTTAGCCAAAGAATATGTAAAAACATGTAGGCAAGTATGTGCTGAAATGAAGGGAAATGTTTAGATACCTTCAGGCACCATCATTACCATATACAAATGCCAACTAGCATGTCAAAACCAGATAGATAATATTAGGTATGCTGTAAAATGTTTGGATTTGAATGTCTCAGTTTAAAACTGTGTTAAAACGAGGACAGCAGGAAACCTCGCTCCTTTCATTTTACTAAGACAAAATAAAATGAATAGCATAAAATACTACCCACAAAGTAAGTTTTTGTGCCTGGACAGAAAATACAGCAATGTGTTTCAAGACTCTTTTACACTATGAAATTGCAAGGATTAAATACAATATAATAAATACTCCTGCAACTGGCAGGGTGGGGATCTAACGGAACACTCTCAAAGTCACTGGTACTTGAGATTAGAAGACTCCTCTGCCCAACCTGAATTGCACCTATTAGGAACAGAAAGACATGAGCTCAATACAGATTTTCAGAAGTCTACTAGGAATTTATCAAGTGCTATTTCAGTGTAATACTGTAAACAGATTTTTTTTTTTTATTTCAGCTTTTTAAAAAAATAATTATAGAGAGGCAGAGGGCTATTATTTTCTCAAGGAGTAATGGAAATTATTTGTTCATTGTGAATTGTGCTTGCTTCCTGCTGGATGAAATCCTTTTCAAACTGAAAAAAAAAATTCAAAAGCTTCCTGTTCTCTGTAAACAGGTGGTCCAATGCGGGATGCTTAGGTTTGCTAGGATTTTAAAGTCACCACCACATGTTGATCTGGACAGACCAAACAGGTTTTCTTCCCCTCTGGTTTACGTCAGATAGGTTGGTTCCCATTCAGTCTTGTTTGTATTTTCAATCTTCTTGGCTCATTTGTGCTGCCCTTGTAGATGACCTAGCAGTTATCCATCAGAGAAAGCCCTGAGTTTCCGTAACAAATCTCACAGCACATATTTCAAAAGCAAGGTCGTTTCACTGTTGTATGCTGGAAGTCCATGAGTGAGATGTTTTATGCAGAACAATTTAACTGTTACATAGCCACCAGCTTGTCTGCGTGTTTTTAGCTAACTTAGTGGAAAGACACGCACAAAACCCAAGTCTTGAAAGATTCTCTCTCTAAGGTAGTTTCTGGTAAAGCCCATTTTATGAAAACACTCGAGGTGCAACTGGAATAGAAACAAACCTGACAAGCACATTGCAACTGCACCTTCCTTTCATCTTCTTAAAGGTTATTACAAACATAGAAAAAAACAACCAAACTGAAAGAAACTTCCTCTCACTTAAGAGATAAAAGTCACGCGCCATTCCATATTATTTCGTTATTATGATAAAAAAACCCAGCAACAACAACAACAATAATATTAATATATATTCCCCAATTATAGCTGTTGTGAGTAGTCCATAAGGATTTTGCTGTATTTCTTCCGTTGTGGGATGCACCTTTCTAAGCACTTCCCTCTCCCCCACCTCAGCACAGTACAGTGCAGGCTGGGATGCTTCTGAAAGGAAACAGCACAAGGCTCTTGACAAACACTGAGACCAGGGGTATGACTTCTCTCATCTAACCTCCCCTGTCTGAAGGTGAGGTGTCCACACTCCCTAGTGGGAGACATGGGTAACCTCTAGTACGGAGAAGCTATTCTAGGACCTGAGAGTAATGTGGGTTGGAGGAAATGCCCACTGACTGATTACAGTGGGGCCACCCAGTCCCTCTGAGTGCACTGCAGGCTGCCACTGAAGGTGTCCATTTAAGCCGTCTGTTCTGCTACCTGCAGTGCTACCTGCACTGAGACTCTGCAACAGCTGCTCTAGGGAATAGGTGATGGAGTAAAAGCAAACCAGAATTGCTACCACTTCATACCTGACAGCAAAGCAGAGCAAGTTTGGAAATTCTGCTGGCATGTGCTTGTGCTAATCTTTGTTTAGGTTGAGTGCATAAAAAATCTTGCTAAAATGATGCTGCAGAGCAAATTGGAACCTTTATACCCTTGCAGGTCCTAAACCAACAGTTTCTGTGCCATATTAGGCACACGGTTCTCAGGAATCCAAATTATCATTTCTAACGTAGGCTCATGAGGACATCTACAAAACTCCTGCTATGCTGTGCTGACTCCAAGCTGCAGATGGGCACTGCTCTGGTGTGGTGCCACTTGTGCCAGAAAGTGACTTGGCTCCAGTGCCAGACCACAGCAAGCTGTGCTGATCAGGGTCCCTGCAAAGCAGCCTGGAGACATCCCACAGCACAGGAGACCTGCATCTCTCTGACCAGCTCAAGCCCCACCCATGGAACACAGAGTGAAAGCTTATCATGGCAGCGTTTGAGGGCAAATGTGATAAGCAGCTTAATGACTAACTGGGGGAACTCTGCAAGTCTTGCAAAAGGCAGGGTAACAATATTTGCCTTCTCAATTGCTAAGAGATGGAAATCAGTTCCAAGAAACGCTAGCTTAGCTACACCAGGCACAGAATAAATACAAACTCATACTGGGCAACCAACAATGCCTGCATCTACCCATGGGGAACCTGCTCAGAAAAACACATTACCTGGAACACCTGCAAACACATCCATCTTCTCAAAGACTGCATTAAGGCAGTCCGAGGAAGATACCCTTTATGCCTGTCTTCTCCAGTCACTTTTCCTTGACAGTGATACAGATTATCTCAAGTCCTCAGAGCACTGTCAGCCACTCCTGAGCAATGGCCAACCTAAGCCCACCTTCTACCTGCTTAGGGCTGTCCCTTCCCCTCACAGAATCACAGAATGGGCAAGGTGGAACAGACCACAGTGGGTCATCTGGTCCAACCTCCTGCTCAAGCAGAGTCAGTTTAGAGCATGTTGCACAGGACTGTGTCCAGACAGTTCTCCAGTGAGGGAGTCTCCACAACATCTCTGGGCAACCTGTTCTAGTGCTTGGTCACCCACACAGTAAAAAAGTTCTTCCTTATGATCAGATGGAACTTCTTGTGCATCAATTTCTGTCTGTTGCCTCCTGTCCTATTACTTGATACCACTAAGAATAGCCTGGCTCCATCCTCTTGACACCTTCCCTTCAGATAATTATATACATTGATAATAGTATACTACTACTTCTCGGTTGTTTCTTCTTGAGTCTGAATAGGCCTAGCTCCCTCAGCCTATCCAATGTTATTTTACTTCTGTAATAGTTGTGGCAAGGAGTGTCTATGCTTAACTGAAACTTTCCACTTTCTACATAACATTTCTCAGGCTACCCAGCCTGAAAAAAAATGCTAGCAACATAAACTAAAACACATTTAGTACATGGTGTTATTTTCATTCCCAGGACAATCTACTGTCACTCACTTCTGACATACTGCCTTTGAGAGCAGCACGTTTCAATAAGAGTGCTCAAAGACCAACTGTCATGAATATGAATGTTAACAAGATAGTAATAGGAAGGAAAAAATGCTTGCATCCAATATACCTAAGATCCTTTCCTCTGCTACAGATTCAGGTATAGCCACCCAGAAGCACCCAGAACAACAGGGAGATTGTAATGTTCCTGAAAGGTCCAAAACTAAGACTTTATTACCACTGCAGTCCTTGTCCATCCCCTAGGAGACAGGCTGTCCAGAGCACGATTCTCCCAAACTTTCATCTTTAACAAAAGACCATTCAGCATTCTGAAAGAGGTCCCTGGAATATCTCATTGCTTTTTGAGTCAAAAAAAGAATGAATAAAGTACTCATTATTTAGAAAAAATACATTTTATTGGTTTAAGACAATTTTATTAACACAATTACAAATATTTTAGTTTTGAAACATCTGTATCACTTTACATTTGCCTCAGGTCTTAACATGCCAGGATGGACTCTTTACTGCGCCCGCAAGCACGCAGCAGCTCAGTATACATTAACAATTGTAAATCAATGTGTTAAGTATCTAGGGGGTGTTCTTCTGTTTTTATTTAATTAATTCTCCCTTGCAGCTCACCTTTTGATGCCCTATGGAACATTAGTCATTTACCACAATTTCTGCAAGATTATCCCTGGCACACAGAAAGGTCTTTTGATCCTCAAACAAGGTGAGAGAAAGCAAATCCCTAGGAATTCCTTCTGACAGTCTCTTTTTAATCCACACTCCTCCCTCAGCCTCTCCTCATCACCACATAACATGGGTCTGTAAACTTAGAAATGCTCTCTTGCCATAAGGATATCCCCTGTCTGTGAGAGCACAGACTTGTGCTTTTAACATACTGTTCACCTTCATTTTCAGATCATAGTATGACCTAAGTCCTGTAACTGCTACCTTAAGTTGGACTATAAGCTACTTGAGTGGGGATCTTATCTCTCAGACATTAATTCCCTGACCAGTCTAAAGCTTTCAATAAAGCCACTTTTTACCTGCATTTTCTCCTGAATCCCCATAACAGGGGAGTGTAAAAGAAAATAACACTAATACTGAAATACCCATCTGAGCTGAGGGCAATTGACCTGGAGATGAGAAATGTGAACAGGAACAGGTTTTAACCTTTGAAAGTGTGTTAAGAACTGGTAATTTTAGATGCTCTGATATGTTAGAGTTGACCCTAGACAGGCCCTGCCTGGTTTGGCTTCTACACACACCCTGATCTCAGCACGCTGACTTACAGGTCATCTCTTTTCACATGCCGAGCTGGCTTCACTCAAGTCAGCAATAAACCTCCTATGGCCCACAGGATGCTGGGATTTCCCTCTATACAACTTTCTCCTCTAAGAAGTATGCTTTCTGTGTGCTTTTGGTACGATACATCAGATTCACAAACCACAGGGAAAAAAATCTGCACTGAAGAAGAAATATCCAGCAGTTTTTTCTCAGCTCTGGTAACATTAGGCTCCATATTTAAATAAGGTTATATATACTGATGTCCTTCAAATTAGCACCGAAATGCTTCCTGGGTTTTTTTCTCCCTTTTCATGGCATACAGTTTCAGAGACCACTTCTTGTCATAGGATTTTCTGTGCTATTGATCTGCCTGTAGCTAATTCTGGTACAGGAAAAAAGGCACAAGACAAAGGCTGGCGGTGAGAGGGGCACTCTGCCCTACTTACCTCATAGAAGAGCCCTTCGGGGAACTGCTGAAAGCACTGGGCGCAGACGAAGCACTGCTCGTGGTACAGCTCACCATTGCTGTTGACTATTTTCTCAGCAGGGGCAAAGCCACCCCTGCAGCGCTCGCAGATGGCATTTGCAAGCGCGTTCGCCATGTTGCTGTTAATAAAGAAGAAAATGAAAAGAAAATTAGCCTAAATAGGCAACACCACTGCTTGTGGGTCTTTTTTTTCCCCTAAGGCCAAACTGCGTCAGCCTAATGTGAGGCTGCTCAATACAAGTTTTTCGATGGACTTCATGGCTTGTAGTATCCCCTTAGAAATAAAACTACCACTTCTCCCTGCTCCCAAACTCTTTAGAAACAAAATTGTCGTGATGAACACTAATTAATTCAAAAACCAAACAGAAATGTTGTTACAACAGAAATGTTATAAATTTACAGGCTTTTAATGATGAGAAAAGACAGGCAATTCAAAGTACTATCAAAATTGTTATATACATTAGAATTACAGAAAACAAGGGCAAGTATTAACAATAATTGAGGACTAGCACCACATAGGAAAATATAAATGATTAACGCTAAAGCAATTCCTAATTCTAAAATATACATGTAACAGCATTAGTTCAAAGCTCTAAATAAACAATGTGAAAGAGTATGCAGTATCTAGTCTGTCAGATATTAATAACAACCACAGTAGGTAAACAATTATCCCTTATACAAGCTCTGCATAGCTTGAAGTCATTTTACAAATTTAGTTTGAAGTCATGGGATTTTTGATTGGTTTGTGAAGGTTCATCTCAGTGAGCTCAGCTCACAGTGTGCCAACCCACAGCCCACTCCAGGCCATGTTGGAGGATGGGAATGCTCCAGCTGCCCCACTGCAACCCACATCCAGGCCAACACAAAGTCATAAACCCACACCGGAGGTGCAAAAAAATAGTCAAATAGCAACCTTGGTTGCTTCTCAAAGGCATAGAACCAAAAAATGGCAGGGTGGTAGCTGAAAAACATTAGAGGAATTAGCTGCTTCACTGGGTTCATGTCCACATCTGCAGAAGACACTATAGCTGTGTTTCAGTTAATTAAGGCCAGGAAAAGGCTCTCTTGATTTTTTCTTTGCAAACATTTTATTACTCATATCTAGACTCTCAAAGCTATGACTTTCAAAATCACTTCTCTGTCCCAATACCCTGTGATAGCAGAGAGCAAATATAGGGCAATGGTCTAGTTTCATTACAATCTGACCTCAGCTGACAAAATCACTGACTCAAACATCTATTTGGAAGATTATTAAACAAGTGACATTATTTTAAACTCATGTGCACACATGCACACATTTGGGTACAGCTGTCATGCTGTACCTGTAAGTGCAGAGCCCTCAGTCCTCTGCAAGATGCCAAGCCTTCCTTTTTATCCCCACAAGGGGATAAGACCTCTTGGCTCCCACCAGGTTCAATAGGAATTGAATTCATTCCTTGCACACCATCCAAGGAAACAAGCAACTACCTAGCATGTGGTTCAAAATGGAATGCGTTTTATCTATTTCTTACACTGTCTCACAGACGAGCCAAGGTCACAAAAGATGCAAGGTCACATCTGACCAGTTATCCAAATATCCACTGCTCTTCCAGTGAAACAAAAGTGGGCGAATTTCACTTGAAGATCAGAGGGAGGATAGTCTCATCCACACGCAACAGACAGACCTATGGACAAACTGCAGTGACTGTACATATGAACTGTGATTAATTATAAAGCTCGCTAATAGTCTCCATGGATTGTGTATGCTCTTTGTGAGGGAAGACCTCAGTTAATTTCCCCATCCTCCTTACCAGTCTAAATGAAGAATAATCACGACAGAAACTGGGACCTCTCATCATCACTTCAACAGTGCTCGAGCACTGAGGATGTTAAGCTCTGGCATACATAAAGGATAATCCAAGCAAAAACATGAAACAAAGTTCAAAACCAAATGAAAACACTAAGTTTTCCTCCTCAGTACACAAAAGTGCCTCACATCATATATGCAAAATCAGTGATATATGTAATACTTCTGCATCGATGAAGCAGTTTATCCATTTGCCCAAAATAACACACAAACAACTTGAAGGCAGAGAGACTACCTGACAAATTCCAACCCCGTTTTAACTGCTGATAAAAATTTCTGAAGCAACTAATGATGAAATTTAAAGCAACAACTCCAATTTTAGTTGACAGTTACAACTGGTAATGTTTCAAGCAGAAACAGGGGCAAAGGTTGGGTAAGAGAATAGCTTGCACAGATCTCAGATAATAAAATACGTAAGTACAATACACATGCAATGTCACTGCAGTTACACTCCAAAGCTGAACAGAACCAACTTACAATTTTGCATAGAAGTCACAGAACTCTTTGTAGAGTTTTATTTCACTGTGCCTACGTTGCAATTTTGACACTGGTTTCTCGCCTTCATTTCCTGCAGAGTTGTGAGCATCGGGAACAGCCTTGTATGCAACCTCTTCATCCTCTGGGATGGGGAATGGGTGAGCTCTGTGCTGGAAGTCCATCTCTCTCTGATTGCTTTCCTGGATGTATATATTCTGTGCTTATACTGCAAAGAAGCTGTAGGCAAAGCCTGCAAAACAGTATGCTGGACTTCCCCTAGTTCCCAGCGAAGTGATTTAGTTTCACAGTTCCGTGTCATGTAGCCAGAGCTACTCAGTGCCCTGACAGAGCTTCAAGTTAAAAGTTCAGTGGCGGGGCGGTGAGCCTGTCACACTGTGATTTACTGAGGCTGGCTGTGCACAGAGAAGCACATTTTCCTGCCAGGCCCTCATGTAAACTTGGATGCTGGAAGGGGTCTTTGCTGCTGGCTACTGACAGAAGCTGCCCAGGAGAGCTGTGGTGTGAATAGCCTATGTGAGCAAATATGTTCACCACCAAACTTGTCCACAGCTACTTTCTGCTGAGGGGGGAATAGAGGTAGATTCAAACAATATTTTATCATGGGCAAACCAGCAGTGGAAAGCACAAAGAGAAGACTCCTGTCACTAGGTAAATATTGCTTTAATGCTACAGTATATTAATTATATTGAAAAAATGCCTTTAATGTTCCGCTTGTGTCTTCTGCTGTCATATGCGCTGAATTTATCTATAGGCATCTTTCTTTGTGTCAGCACTTTGGAGAAGGGACAGGTACAGATGGATAGTTACGTTTATGTTGTGCTTCACAGCCTGCTAACCAAACTGCCACGTATGCTATAATGGGCAATATATGAAGGAGAAAAACTAAAGCTTTATTTCCAGTGATGTGCTGCATTTAGAGTGATTTCACGTAAGAACATTTACTGAAGTAATTTGCCGTGGATATTAAAGAACTGAGAAAGCAAGACTAGGAAGAAAGAATGAAAAATAATTATTCCTTCACCACAGAATGCCCTCCTAATGTTGTAATTATTTTATGTTCATATCTATTTAAAAAAACCTGTTGTGCACCACTTACTAGGGAAAGCAGGGTCAATCAGTTGCTGATCTGCAGCTAGTAACTGCACAACTGCAAGCTTTCCCTTCTTGAAGCACAGTCCTTGTGGCAGACATGGGATACTTGGCTTCCTGCAACTTTTAACTGCAGAAAAGGCAGGCTTTTGGAAAACTCTCCTGAGTAACTACCTCTGCCATTGGACTGGCTCAGCCTTGTTTGTAATCAGTCGAACTGCAGAAGCGCATGCAGTTTGTGCTCACGACACACAGTACCTTGGTATCTGAAGAATCTGCTAGTCTTCAAGGGGGATGAGAAAGCAGAGGATGACAAGGAGATGAGCAGAGAGAACAAGTAGAGAAATTAGGACAAGAAGATCAGAAAATCACACAATCATCTTTGAAAAAGACTTCAAGATCACTGAGTACACACCTTTTAAATACCTCCAGGGTTGGTGACTGCACCACTTCCCTGGGCAGTCTGTTTCAGTGCTTGACAACCCTTTCCATGAAGAAATTTGTCCTAATCTCCAATCTAAACCTCCCATGGCACAACTTGAGGCCGTTTCCTCTTGTCCTGTCACAGGATATGACAGAAGGTCCAATCAAGGCTACAACTTCTTAATGCACCTTCACCTTCCTAGAACCTACTACTGAGGGTCTGGTTGATGATGGGTTTTGGCCGTATCTCTCAGCACTGGTTGGGACAGCGTGCTCAGTCAGCGTACAGCAGCCCACACACCCCTCTCCCTGCAGGCCTGAGCTTGCACATAGCTGTCTTCCCGCAGCCTGGCCAACACAGCCCTGTTGCTGCTGCCAAATTTGTGGGATGGGTTTGATCAGGAGTCTTTCCTTCACTTCCCCTCAGCAAGGAGCAACCCCTGGGCAAGCTATTCCCTTGAGTAGGTGAGACCCAGGCAGCATGACCCTGCTTATTTACCCATCTGTAGGTGTGCTTACGCATCCTGCATCAGAGCTACCAAGAGTTACATGCTGTAACAGGCTAAGGAGGCTGCACCCACACCACTGACACAGCTTGGCTGCAGCTCAAGCCCTATTTTTATCTGTCATGGGGCAAGTGATGCTCAGGCTGTAGCCCTAGGCCACAAAGATCTTGCCAGAGCACCGTTTCAGGAAACAGTCCTGGAACAAAAGGTTTCTGTGACCGCTGGAGCACCAGTGATGAAAACGAGCAGTGTTTGACAACAGATATGCAGGCATAGTGATGCTGGCTCTTCTCCTCCATCTTGCCTCCTAACATTGTCTGCACCGGCCAATGCTGAGCTTCTGTGGGTACAAACAACTACAGAGAGACTGACTGCAATGGACTAAACATGCTGATTCATCCAGGGTTAGTGTAGGTGTACCAAGACACTAAGATAAGAAACAGCAAGTAAGTCTGTCTCTTCCCCTTATTGCTGTTTCTCAACAGTTTCTCAACTGTTTTCCTGTGTTTTGTACCAGATCACTTGCAATTCTGCTGAGAGGCTGCTGCTGCAAATCAAGACAGCTCTGGTTTTCTCCTGGTGGACTTCTACAGTCCTTACAGTAATCTGAAATCCACATGTGACCAAGGTGACTGGAAGCCACTTGTGCTGCCTTGTGTCCTCTGTTGTCAACAGGAAAATATTTGCTTGCTTCTTCGGCTGCTGTTGAGCAGTCTTCTGCGTGGCTGTAGCAAAGCAAGTAATATGGCGAGTCAGTGCAGTAAGATGTCCATCCAAAAAGCCTGTTTGAATTTTCCTGGTTTTTTTCCAAAAGGCAGTCCTACAAGATAACAGGACTCCATATGTGCAGTAAGTAGAAGCCCCCTGGTTCTCCAGGCATATTACCATTGCTGTGGGTGGAATGACTCCCAGTGTCTTCCATTAAGCAAGAAAGGAGCTTGACAGGAGTTTAAAAAGGGACTTTCTGCTACTGATGCAAAACACAGTTGCTACTGTGAAGGTTTGGTAATCCTCAAATCCAGCACAGCTGGCCATCTTTCTCTTTTCTGTCATTTTGCAGGAGGCGTGCTGCCAAGATCTGAAATACGTAGTTAAAAATACACTGAATTTTCATTAGGGAATTCTAGGTTACCCTGAGGTGAAGCCAACTATGGGGAGTCAGAAACATGTAAGGGGTCGTTGATTTGCAGCAGCAGCTTCCCAAGGGCATTCTCTGGGATCTGGGACAAAACCTACCAGCCTGTTGTTAAGGGCGCAATGTTATGGAGAAAAGGGAGAAGTTGAGTGTTTAACTGGAAAAGGTATGCAGGAATTAAAAAGACAGAGTCTCCCTCTGGCACACTGAGGATCTTATCAGAAATCAAAATTGATGGGAGGGAAGGTGCAGATAGAAATGGCAGAAGAGTGAAGTGTCCCACTGTGCACTTACGGAGAAGGGATTTGGAAAACAATAGCAAAAATAGCTGCACTGCTTCATTGCTTCATTGCTGAAGGATAACTGCCACCTCACTCGACCCTGCTTTCTCTGGAGTTGTCAAATCTGGCTGCCTGTGCTGGTGGATGCCAGAGGCAGATGGGGACTCTTACAGAGAAGGCTGGTGGCTGGCCAGGCCTGCTGAGCATTTCACTCTGTGCCACAAATAGACATGCTGAGCAGTCACGGCTCCAAACAAGGTGCTTGGCAAAAGCAGCTGCTGCTTGGCAACCCACTCGTGCCACTGTGAAATATCACTGCATCACCAGTGCTGTTGAGAGGCCAAATGGCCCATCAGGACATGCCGATGGATGGGGGGGGGGAAAGAGTAATCACAGTGCCTCCCTACACTTCCCCTGTCGGTACGTGTGATTGTGATTTCATTTCAATGGTAAATTAACAGATGCTATGCAACGGCTCTCACACGCAAAATACAGAACTACTTTAACAGAAATCTGGCTGCAAAGTATGTGTGGGCTCACAGTGGCCCGCTCTGATTTCTGCACCAACACTTGAAAGCACTAATTGACCTTTTGTGTCTTTTTTTAATTGAAATTAAAAATACCCTTGGGTTCTGGTTGCTGCAATAGTTTATCTCTTAAGCAATAAAATACTTTCCATGTTAAGCTAGTCTCCTAAAGCAGTTTGAAAGAAGGTATAAATCTTTTCTACAATAGAAGTGCCCGTTAGAGGTAGGATTTTCACGTGTCCAGCACTGCTCTAACTTCTGTTTCTATTAAAAATGACAGAAAGCTGTCTTGAAACCACTGCAATAAAAAGTAGGTGAATTTTGAGTGCTCCTAAAAGTTTTACCCTATAGTCTTCACCACAAAAAGCATAATTAAGCTTATGTGGTGGGAGTTTAAATAGGGCAAACAAAAAGGCAACTCTGGATGTTTCATATACTTCAATATAAGTTTATTCTAGTATAAACATGTCCAAAAAATGCTTTGGTCTCCGCAAACAGAGAAGGTTCACATTCCATCTCTCCATAAGGAAGTAAATATAACTGGAATAGACAGGTAAGCAGCACCTTCCCACACAATGTTTTACCAGCCATTCAAGCACAGTGGAAAATCAGCCTCTGATGGAATTTGTAGAAAAGGAGAGCAGTATGTGAGAGTAAGACTTTCCTGTTGTAAGTAATATTTAAAAAAACTATTGTGTTTTCTTCTTGCTGGTTACAAACCTTACCAAATTAAGCCATGTTTTGTGTAACTAAGTAATGACTTCTTCTGAGTACTCTTTAAAACAACTGGTGCTCTTTAAAACAATCATCTCTTTCTCCCCCACTATTAATTTTTTTAATCCTACGCAGACAGGAAAAACAAAACAACAGAAAGATACAGTATCATGTATGAGAAGCTCATGATCTCTCCATGTGTTGCATGAGACACAGCATACTATTGGTTATTCTTCAAATCTGCACCCTGTGTAGCTGACTGTAACGTACATTTCATTATGGTAAATATACCATATTCAAATTCTTCCAACTCTATACATTTTAAAGATGCATTTACACTGATGGATTTCATGTAACAACATTTATAGCCCTACTTCCAATTTAAGAATAAGAAAAAAGGTCAGCTACTCAATACTAGGGGCTGCACATCAAATGTCTCTGAGGCATTCATCCTGAAAAGAATGATCTTTTTAAGCCCAAAGAGACAAGATCAGACCCACTCAGCTCCAAAAAAGTGACAGGACAAGAGGAAATAGCCTCAAATTGCATCAAGGAACGTTTAGATTGAACACTAGGAAAAATTTATTCACTGAA